CAACGGCAGACTCAATCAATTTGCGCCCTTGTACGAGCGATGGGAGAGGTTAGACGGAGGTCGGCAAGGGGCGCTGTGGGGGAGGGGCGTTAGGCGTTAGCCTGGTTATGACTGACGATGTGTGTGTGTGTGTGTGTGTGTGTGTCTGCGGCTTATCCATATTGCTTTACGTGCCAAAATGTATGCTTATTAAAAAGAATCAGCAGTGCGCATCGGAAAGTCAAAGACTTGGTTGACATCGCCAACCAAAAGGATGGGAAATGGACTCTATCTCTCTCTCCGGTCGGAGCTTCAGATTCCCACATCGTAGGTCCTGTGGCCACAAAATGGCCGCCTGGATGTTCATTTGACATCCAGTTTTTTGTGCTAACTCTCTTTCTGTCTGTCTCTCTGCCTCAGTCTGTGGCTGTGTGTGCCGTACTCTGTGTCCTGTATGCGGAAAAGTTATTTAATGGCTGGCGATATATATTTTAAAAGCCATTACTGCTTATGACAGATACATTGCGATGGCCGATGGGATGCGCTTCAGTTCAAATCTTTGCCGATGTGCGCTGTGGGGCTAATGAAGTTAATCAACAACAAAACCTCCTAGTATTTCCTGAGTGCAATAATGCAAATATCTTTATGTGTGCTGTGTGTGGCTTATATGTATGTGCCAAACATAAAGTTCAATATCAACTGAATAAAATGAGGTTTACTCGGCCATAATATGCTCAGTCAGGGGTAAACAGATTTGCTTTGCACAGCATCAACTGCACTACGCATACATGCAACGCAGACCCCTCTATGCACTCTATGCAAAGCCTCACCAACCACCAACCACCCCACCACCCGACCAACCAACCAGTCATACACTCTGCCCTGCTATCAACAACAAGAAGCAACTGAAATTGCAGCTGCAGCAACAGCTGCAGCGGCCCTCGTATGTTGCTGCTAATACAGTGCTTCTGCCACCCATCCCTGCCATGCCACTGAGCATGGTATGATGTGTATGCGTGCTGCTACTGATGCTGCTGCTGGTGTGCTTGTATCCTGACGATTTAGCTGATTTATGTTGATTTGTGTGCGAGAAAGTTGGCAGTGGAAGGCAAAACGATTCCCGGTTGTGCACAAAGCGCACACACACCCAGCGGCACAGCAGCGAAACAGTTGCGTTGCTTTGCGTGTGCTTAAAGCCTGCACCAACAACAATACAGAAGGAGTGGAGTAGCTGTGGTAGGTAGCGGTGGAGCAACCAACTGAGACCTACAACAACTGTGCAACTGTGATGCCCGTCTCTCCTCCCGCCATCAATACAGAGAAAAGCTCTACACAAACGATGGCCACACTCGAGCGCCCGAGAGCCGTAAGGACGTCTCGGGCTCGGGCTCGGGCTCGGGCCCGGTGTCTGGCTCGGGCTCGAGTGCGCTCGTGTCCTGGTCGCACCCAGAATTTTCGCGGCTTCGTGATGTAAGTGGCACTGTGCTAGTCGGTCTCTGGTTCTCGGGTCTCCACTAAAAAATCAAACACGCCCGAGCTGAGTCCATGAGCGGGTCGAGTTGAGTTGAGTCGAGTCGAGACGCTGTCGTCGTTAACGCCGAGCGGATAAAATTGGTTCACAGCGAGGCCTAGATACATTTTCCACCTTTTTTTTGTTGGTATTGCAAAATTAAAATCAAATCCGATCAAAATTCTACAATTAAGTTCCAGCACAAAAAATCGCAATCTGTACTCAGCCCCGCCAAATGCGATTTTGGGAATATTTGTGTTTTTTTTTTGTTTGTTTTTGCCAAAGAGTTTCGCGAATGGAAAAAAAGGCGTAACTGCTCCAGGATTGTGCATACTATTTTGTGGGGTGTAGAGAGAGGAGAGGAAAGCTGTACGCCCCGCTGCTCTCGGCCTCTGTGTGTGTGTGTGCGTTTTTTGGTGTGAGTGTGAGAGTACGCGAAAAATCAAAGCAGAAGGAGAGAAGGCAACGGACTGGATATATTTAAATGTTGTGCAGCGGATAAATTATGAAAATTATAATTAAGTAAAGTAGTGCCACAAGAGAGAGAGAGAGAGAGATAGGGTAAGAGAAAGAGAGAGAGGAAGGAAGAGGAAAAGCAGGCTGTCTGGCGGTCTGTTGCTGCAAAATAAAATCCAGAAACTTATTCCACCAACACGCACGTACGCACACAGGACATGGGCCACAGAAGAACCCCTTACACATATACATATACATATACATATACATATACATATACATATACATATACATATACATATACATATACATACATACCAAAATCCCGCCTGGCACACTCAAATTTGGCCGAGTTTGCTTGGCACACACACACACCCTGAACCAAACCCATACAGACACAAAAGCAAATGCAAAAGAAAAAAAATAGCAGTAAATAAATATAAAAGGCAACGGCAAAAAGGAGTCTGTTCCTGCTGCTGCTGCTGCAACGTGTGGTATCTATGTATGTATGTGTGAGCGAATTTTCTACATTTATATCTATATGTGCGCCTGTGTACACATATACATACATATTTATTTATTTGCTTGCGCTAGACACTCGTCTTCGTGCGCTTCCATCGTCTTGGCTGGCAGCTGCTCCCCGGCTGCCTGGCTCCTGCCCCCTGCCTTCCGGCTCTTTGCACGCCGTTTGCTTTGTTTAATTTTCAAGCAAATTGTTGGGGCGGCCTCGTTGATTAGCCCCGAGGAGCAGGAGCAGGAGGAGGCTGTGGCGATGGCGGTGGCCTAGCCCGCATATGCTTTTAATTGCCAAAAACGTGCCCAGCCACACATCAACAGGGTGACAGCGGGAGAGAGATGCTATGCTATGAGAGGCTGTATGGGAGTGCAGAGAGGGACCACGAGAGAGCTGACGGCTGCTAGCTGCTGGCTGCTAGCTGCTGGCTGCTGGTGCCCTGCCCATGATGATGATGACGGGCGGCCACGAGGTTAATGGCTTAAAGTCTTAGCCGATTCCAGCCGCCAGCCCACAGCCCATTGGCCACATGAACATTTGAATGACAGTTGACTATGAAATCCGGCTCGCCTTTCTGCCTCTCTCTCACTCTCTCCCTTTCTCTTCTCCCCCCAAAACAAACACATTCATTTTACTCAATTTCGTTGAGTTTTATGAGTAGCAAAAGCATCGTTTTAGGAGCACTCAAGCAACTTCTGATGAAAGCTAAAATTTCACATTTATTGAGTTGCTTTTTGGGTTAACGAACTGCGAGAGGGAGAGAGCGTCCTGTCCTCCACTGATATTCAGGACTTGCAAACTGCCATGCTCCTACGAGAAACAGTGGGGGTTCGGAAAAGAGTCAACACTGCCCATGGAAATGAAAATTCTGCCTCTAAAATCTGATTAAGTAATTAGAAAGTTGCGAACGCATTAAATATGCAAGTTGAAGTCAAAGACTGCATATCTAAGGGTCCTGTTATCTGGTGGGTTGGGTACCGCACGGTACCATCAGGCAAGCAGCAGGCAAGCAGCAGGCAAGCGGAATGCTCATTAATAGCTGTCGTCGTTTACAACATGAAAAATGTTTGAAAGCCAAACAAAAGCCGTTTAAAAAACCGTAAGCCAAAGACCAATCAGGACTCTGTGTGAGTGGAAGGCCTGAGCAGGCCAAGCTGCAAGTGAAATGTAATGTAAAATGTCGAATGTGAGCGCACACACGCAACTCTTACCATTTTAATTAATGTCAAACTCTTATCATTGAATATGAAATATGCACAAACACACACACACACACACACACAGAGAGAGGGCGAAAGAGAGAGCCGGTGAAAGCAGCCTTCACATATGCATAACGTATGTGGAATTTACATACAAAACCCGACCCGAGCCTCAGCTGGCTTTTCTTTGTCAAGTTGAAACAATGCCTCAGCCCTCAGCTACATACGTCGTTGCCTTGAAAAAGCCTTGCTTTTTTTGTGGTTTGCCGCAAAAAGCAATCACAGCAAAGGCACAAGAAAATGCTCGACCGAAAAAAACAAACACCATACACACACATAGTCAGAGGAAAAACGCGTGCTTACCAATTAACGAGATATGTGCGAATATGCCTCACAATGTGAGGCGCGAGAAATTTGCTAAAGAATAAAAAGCCCCTTGAATGTGGGGAAAACCCAAAGAAAAGCCTAGCAAAAACTGGCATACAAATCACATGCGAAAAAATTTATAAAAACAAAAACCAATGCAAAAGCAAACTAACACACACACACGCAGACACAGCTAGATGATATATATATACATATATATATACATATACATATACATATACATATACATATACATATACATATACATATACATATACATATACATATACATATACATATACATATACATATACATATACATATACATATACATATACATATACATATACATATACATATACATATACATATACATATACACATACATATACATATACATATATATACATGCATATCATATATACGTATGCATATGGGTGAAAGCAGGGAGAGGAGGGCAGAGTATAGACGATATACGATAGAAGAGGAACAGGAGGAGAGGAGGAAATGAGAGGCCGAGTTGGGAGGCAAGTAGCAAGCGTTTATGCTAAACAGAGTGTAACTGCCGGGGTTGCCAGTTCGGAGAGTGCACGGTGACATTTCTGCAAAATGCCAAAAAGGATAACAAGAAGGCAACACCAGAGCACACAAAAGGTGCTAACCGACACATACAGGCAGACACACACACACACACACACACATACACACACACACACAAACAGGGAAAGAGAGCACAATCACGAGAGAGACGAGCCAAAGAGAGACGAAACCGTGCTTTGCAGACCGTGTAGCATACTTTCAGGCCCTGCCTGTGGCTCGGGCTATTTTTGGCCCGACGCTTGCTTGCTTTCTCTCTCTCTCTGTGTGTCTGCAAAGCCTGGCACGCTCGGCTTTGGCTCCTAGCTGGCCAACAGACTGCTAGCCAACTGCCTGGCCTGCCAAACGGTTTTCAAACGCTCAGCTGAGAAAATGTGACGGACGAAAACGGCAGGCCAGAGCTGAAAAACTTCCCAAGAAACGGCAACTCAACAAAATCTATACAAAAGTGTCTGCCTCTGCCTCGGCCTCTGATGTGTATGTGTGCATGTGCAGGGGTCCCTGTGGATGTGTGTATGCGTGGCTGTGTGTGTGGATCCGAGTTTGTGTTTATGTATGCGTGTATAAATTAGTTTGAGTCTTCATTTTTTTCAAATTTTTTTTTTGTGCATTGATTTCTTTATAAAACAATGAAAAACGCTTCAAAAATTACAATAAAGATTTCAAAAATTGGTTAAGTGCAAAGACAGTGAAAAACTACAAGAAATGATGATTCAAGTCTATGTTTAGGAACAAATTATGTTTCAAACAAAATTCATAAGTTCTAGGATCAAAAAGTGAATCAACCCAACCCAATAATTTCTCGAAAATATCTTCAAAAAAGAAATATAATAAATTATTACATCGAAAGTATTTATAAGCACACCAAAAAAATGGCTCAAATATAAAACTATGCCTATCCGATTCCGATTCCTTTGACCAAATCACAACTAGAAACAACTTTTCAACAATTAAACTGATTTTTCATATCTTTTCCCTGAACTTTGCAGTGTTGACGCTAAGCAAAAGAAAGATAAGACTATAAAATATATCTAGAAATTATGTCCCCTAGCCCCCAGACGATAGACGCAACCGAGTTAGCAACTTAACAAAAAACAAACAATGCCAAAAGTTAAAGCGAAAGGCAACTACACCAATCGACACAAATAAAATGAGCCAAGTCGCCTGCAACTACAACACCAACGGCAAGCATCGAGACGAGCAGGTTGCAGGCACTCCGCAAAGAACAAGAACCGCCACAGGAACCGCAACATCATCTCAAATAGTAGAAACACCCGGAACACCAGGAATACCAGGAGCACCGTACTTGAGCAAGCGATGAAGTGGAGCCTCCGCTTGGATGACGAACTTAGAAACAAAAAAACTGGCACTGAAACTGCAGCTGAAACCACAACGGAACTGGCCATCGGAATCAGAACAAACTGATGCTGACGGAAACTGAAACTGATACTATTACCAAATTAGTGGTAGCAGCTAACCGCAAATAGAATCTGAAAAACAGAGAGAGAAGAACGAAAAAGAGGAGGGGAACGGAAACATGAACAGTGTGGATATTTTGTAATTATTAATGAGCGCATAGAGTGGGCTGCCGCAGTGGGGTGCTGGAGGAACCACAGGAGCGAAACAGAGCGATACGTTGAGGGATATCATAATGTACATGCTGCTGGATCTCGACTAACACACACACTGACACTCACCCGAGCCCACGCCCGAGCCCAAGCCCCAAGCCCCAACCCCCAGACAGATTCCCCACAGGACATCAGGCAGGAAAGGCAACGAAAGGCTCAATTTCAAGGAATTTGCAAAGCTCTCACCCACACACAGTCGCACTCACTCTTCGACTCCCAAGCGCGCACTCACACACACATATACGAGAATGGGCTGATGGAATCTCGTCAGGATAGAAGTAATTAAAAGTAAATAAAGCAGGAGGCAAAAGGAAAACCGAAAAGAAACTCAAAGCGGTGGCTGCAGGAAAAGCAGGAAGTAACCTGATTACGAGCAGAAAAGAAAGAGACACAGAGAATCAAGAGGCAGCAAAGCAAAGGCAGGAGAAGCAAAAACAACAACAGCCACAATAACAGCCACAACAACAACAACAACACTTAATGTGGCTCAGAAGAAGAAGAAGCAACGACCATAGTGATCCGCTGCTGATTGTCCGGACTGTGCTGTGACTCGATTTCCGACCCCCGAAAATAGCGCCAGAACCGAAGATTGAGATAGAAAGACACACACGCGCACACACACACCACTCTAACCCATACACATGCACTGAAGTACTGACTGAATGCCTCGCTGCCTAAACAACCAACTAACTCACTGACTGAGAGACTTCAAGGAGCGGAAAGCCAAAACGAAGGGGCAAGCAGCAAGCAAGGAGCCAGCGACAACCAAACAAAAAAACAAAACCAAAAAAGGAAAGGTGGAACCAGCTAGCAAGTAAACTAAAAGAGCAACTAAAACCTTGACTAATAACTGCAACTACAGCAACAACAAATAACAAATTTAAAAAAAAAAACAAACAGCAACAACAACTACAACAACAACAACTTACTTTATACGCAACTAAATGAACAAATACTTCAATTTTTAAATGCAAAACTACGAGAAGCAAGCGCAGCCATTTTAAATAAGCAAAAATCCAGCACAGCTAATCCTTCTCTTAATATAAAAACAAAAAAACACCCAGAACTTTCAACTTCCAAAATTAAACCAAAAACCCAACCAAAACACCGTACCAACGCATTAACAGCAACAGCACCATGAGTGATTCAAGAATGGACAAATTGGCCAGGATGGCGCCTCTGCCCCGCACCCCACTGCTGACCATCTGGCTGGCCATCAATATGGCGCTGATCGCACAGGAAACGGGCCACAGACGGATCCACACAGTGCAGGCGGCGTGAGTACACACTCCTTTTTATTCATTTTGACCAGTGATTATGCCACTCATGAGTGGCCAATGTTTGGGACATTTACTCAATTAGTGACATTTACAACTATCAATTAGGTTAATAACATCATAGAGGGCCGTACACTGCGTATAATTCGCATTAAATAATGGCCCAAAATAATGGCTAGCACGGTCACCCAGAAACACAACACCACTCCTAGGCCATACCATTTCCTCCTACCGAAAACCCACTCTCTCTCCCTGAACAATGAAAAACTACATACAGTTGGCCAGTTATTATAACAATAAATTTGCTTTGGGGCTGGCACTTTGCTGCATTGGCCACGGCCCCGGCCCCGCTCCCGGTACCGGTCCGCCCCACAACCTTGGACGAGCGTCAGGCCGACAGGTGCGTGCCTGTGCGCTGTGTGTGCGCAATGTGTGTTTGTGTGTGTATTTGAGGTGTTTGCGACCCCCACAGGAGCCATAATTCATGGTAATTTATGATTATTCAAATCATTTTGCTGCAAAATGCGCTCAAAACTTTGTCGAGCGCTAATTAGCCAGTATGACAGCCTGTTTTGACCTGGTCCTAAATAAACGTTGAACTGTAGCTCTCTGACAATTTGAATAAGTGCAGCCCATTTATTAGGCCAAGTTGGAGCTGGTGCTGGGGTCGGTGCTGGATCCAGCGCCATATCTACATCGTCATTGTCACATTTGCATGAGGCAGTCATTAAAATGGCAGCAGGGACTGAAAAATGACCACTGCCACTCGATGGTCTTGTAATTACTCACCCGTCAGCGGACACTGGGACACTCGACAGCAGACAGACAAATAGCGGACACCCAACTCTGAGTGTGGCCAGTGGCTATGTTTGTTTTTGGAAACAATTGTACAAGGATTCGTCTAGGTTCAGAGCCAGGGACTGCCCAACTGATTGGCACTTGTCAATCCCACACACGTGTATACAAACACACACACACACAGAGCGAGAAAGAGTGAGAGAAAGACACACCCTTCTGTCATCCTAGGGGATGGCAATGGCAGACCACAACCGCGGACAACACATTCGGACAACGCAAAGAAATTGCCGCATTTGTGGCATTAGTTGTCAACGTCACAGTTGCTGTTGCTGTTGCCACTGCCACTGCCGCAGCCGTCGCGTTCTGTCAACTTAATCACACAAATTATGCAGAGCCAGGGCTCTGGTTGCTGCTAGCTGTGGGTCTCTGGTCGGTTACTTTTTGTTCCTTTTTGGGGTTAGCACTCATTAGTAAATATTTAGGCGCCACACAGAACCACACAGAGCCACAAGCATTTGCATAACATGGCAACCAGGCAAATTAGGCAAATCCAAAGGGGGCTAGGATGACTGCGACTCTGAAACCGAGTCCAAATCCGACTCTGACTTCCACTGCGACCAGAGCAACAACAACGACAACGACAGCGACATCGTTCTCAAGTACAAATGCACGTTTATGGGATTACACGATCGCGTGCCGGGACGCGGACGAGGACGTAGACGAGGACACGGAGATACACGCGACGTGGCATGATGCCTGGGGCCTGGTGCCTTGTGGCTGTTGCTGTTGCTGAGCAAAAGCCGGAGCTGTAGCCGGAGCCGGATCGGAGAGTATAGCGTAACAGGAAGTCCAAAATCGAAAATGTCGTGGCAAAAGTCGGCAAAAGTCGAGACCGATTCTGAGGCGCAAACAGTTTTTTTGTTTATTTGGGCCAAAAGGCACTAGGCAGAGGCAGAAGCAATGGCAAAAGGGGAAAGGGGCAAAGGGAAACGGCAAAAGCATAGCAGCTCGAGCAAAAGTTTACGCTACTTTTTCATGCAACATTGCACAGGCGCCGCCACAAAGTACGAGTATGCAACACAAAATGACAGCATTGCCGAGTCAAAGTTCCAGGTCTCCCCAATTCTGGCCCCATCCCTATTCCCATTCCGCATCCCATCTCCCCATCCCACTATCCGCCAAAAAGGTTAAAGGCCAGAGCGACACAGTTTGCTCACTTTACACGCTGCCACTTCCTGTAAGGCAAAAGCTCAGGAGGATGCTGTGCCACGCCCGGCCACGAGCCTGCCTGCCTGACGTCGCCACCGCCAGCGCCGCCTGCTGTGTGCGCCGTTGTGCTCCACTTGCCACACAAGTGCCCACTTCACTTGGAATTTATTGATAGCAGATAATGCCAAAGTGGCAGCGACAAAAGCAAAGACCACCCGGGCTCGCGTCCAACCAGGAGACTGCCTGTCATCCTTCCCGGCCCAGCCGGGGTCCAGCCAGTCCTAGCCTTAACCCCAGCCCCAGCTGCCTTACTATTTCTACACGCTTGTGTGTGTATGGCTGTGTGTATTGCTGTGTGGCTATGACTGTGTGTATGTGTGTGGCAGCTGCATCACTCGTAGGCAGGCAGCGTCAACAGCTCGCCGTCGAGTGTCATTGAGCGTAAATTGTTGTTCCTTCACATTTTGAGTATGATTGAAAATATCTACAAGCCGTCCGGGTCGGAGGAGCATCTCTTCTCATTCGCGCCGTACCCTGAGGCCTGGTATCCTTACGTAGCTGTGTATGTGTGAGATTGTGTTTTCCCAGCCGTTGCCATTTTGCCAATCGCCATTCCACATGCCGCCATCAGCTTTTAAAATATTTAATAAAGCCCCGGACAAGGCAGGTCTAATTTTTTTCACATTTACCCAGAACCGAGCAACTATTTTTATTGGCCTGACTGGAGGCGAAAGATACCCTTGCCTTGGGCATCAACATCGCCTGCCGATTTCTGTTCATTTTGCTAAATGTCAAGGACTTCAGCAATGCAATTCAATTTTATATGCATTTACCTTGCCACATACCCTCAGCCAATTATTCTCTTCCTTCTCTCAATTCTGCCCTATTTGGAATCGGATTGAGTTTAATTTAATCAAAAGGCCAAAACGATCCTCAAGACAGAGCAGATTGCAAATTCTCAAAGCAATTGAATGGCCAAAGGCTTAAACTGAAGCGTCAGGTTTGCCTGTAAAATAGCTTTAAGATTTAATCTGTGACAGCTTTTGTTTGTGTTTCCACTGGGCGTGGTCCAACCTTGTCAACAACTAGCAGAAAATAGTTAATGTGTTTCCCTGTCCAAGCACAGGCTTTCCTGTGTATCCTGGGCGCTGGTAACCGACGGTCTACTGGGCTTCTGGGCTGCTGGATTGTTGGACTGCGGCTGGACTCTTGCTACTGCCTTATAAGGCGGATGTGTTTGTTCTTAGCGACTGTCAGGCGGCTGTCAGGCAGCAAGTTATCACTTTATTAAAAAACGCTTACTCACACTCGCCCCCGAGCAGCAGCAGCAGGAAGTACAGGAGGCAGGTCCGGGCGAATCCAGAAGACAGGACACTCGCATCTGCAGAGTATTTTACTGCGCAGTGGAAAGGCCTAAACCAACTTTTGCTTATCTCTGCGTTGGCGTTTGCCAAGAATCTTGCCCTGACATGGACATGGGGAAGTGGGAAGTGGCAAACGGAGATGGGAGACAGTACGAGGCAGGCAGGAGGCAGGCAGGAGGCCAGTCAGCCAGCGGAGATGAGGATAAAGAAAACGCTAAAAGAAAGATAATATTTGCTAGTAGTTCTCTCTCGCATTTCCGCTTTGTTTTAACGTTTCACTTGAATTTATGCAATGGCGCGTGTCCAACGCAGCGTATACGTAATGGCTGGCACTCAAAGTGCCACTAAAAACGACAACACAGCGGCAGTGGGAACGACAACAAACAATAACGACAATATTTCTTACAGTTTTACTCTCGCAGCACACACACACATACACTGACCAGCCACACCCACATACCCACACACATTCGAAGAGCCGTAAACGTGCACTGCCTCAAGATAAGGCAACAAACTGTGGGCAGCGATAAGATGGCGTGGCACTTGAGGCGACACGTTTTTGGCTTGGCTGTCGTGCGCATGACTTTGCATTTTAGGTTTTTGTTACAGTTACAGTTACGGTTATTCTTCTGCTTCTTGCTCTTGTTCTTCTGCCAGTTGTTGCTCTTGGGCGAGAAGCGAGAAGCAGCAGCAAAAGAAACTTGTACCCACTTACGTACGCGCAGCTAATTGCATGTTTCTCAAATGTATACTTAGTGATAGTAGTGTGCCCCAAGTAAAGTACTTCTGCAGATTCAGCTGCAGTGTGGAGCAGGGGAAAACTCTTCTTTTCTCTTCGCTGTAATTTTGTGGTTTGCCTCGATCAATAGGCAAATATTTGACGCCTCAAGTACGACCTATTCATATTTTGTAGTGCACTTAACGACAAGCACACACACCCACACACAGCAAACTCTCTCTCTCTCTCTGTCTCTCATGAGTGTGCGTCTGCATAAATTATTTGACAATACGTTGGGCATAATATTAGTTTCACTTAGCCAAGAAAAGGCAAGGCAGTGGCATGCCACATTTGCATATTACGTATACGCCACGTTCCGCCCGGGGACCGACGGCAACGACAACGGCTACGGCAAAGGGAGAAATGGAGCGGCGACGCAATCGAAAAGTTTTTGGCGCGTCCTTCAAGTAATTTTTATTGCAAGCTGTCAAAAACTTATTGACAGCACCTGCCAGCAAAAGTAGCGGCAGTGCATAAATTAAACTTTAATGGCTAGTGAGGGGAAGGTGGGGTGGGGTTGGAAGGACTCGTAAAGTGTTACTAGAGCGTAACCCAAAATGAACAGCAGCAAACATTGCGCATACGCAGCATTTTACTGGCACACACACACACTAACACACACTCACAGACAGAGAATAGAACTCACACATCTAATCTAAAACTCAAATGAAATAGCAATCAAAAGTTTTTCATTATCAACATCGGGCCAAAGGCCCGATAAGTAAAACCGCATATCAACTGTTGTCAGGCCGTGCCCCAGCAACACGGTGGAACAGGGGCGAGGGTGTGTCTGGGGTGACGGGGTAAGGCACTTTTCACTCTGCAAGTATTTTCATACACATTTATAAATAGGCTGCCATTTGTGCCGTCGGCTTTCGCTTTGATGCCAACGCTTCGTATATACAATAGCCCCGCAACCGACTTGGGTTAAAGCTCAAGCGAACCAAGAGCGAAAAACAAAAACGCACTCATGAACAGAGAGAGAGAGAGAGAGAGGGTAGGTGGCCACTCCCCTTCCAAAAAGGGGAGAGAGTTGAGTAGCAGGAATATGGCACGCCCAGACTTGATTACCAAAAAATTAAAGCATACCACAAAATTAAAATCAAATCAATAAATCAGAGCCATAAAAATCGACGTGGTGCAAATTGTACAAAATTCATAAATACCCACCCATTCACAAAGTGCCACAAAGATACATGTATTTCCGATACAAATAAACAAGCAAGAACAAACCAAGCATTCCCGCTAAAGAGACAAAATACCGGAGCTCGATGTTTTGTGGTTCGTTATTCGTTATTCAAGGCTTGATGTTCGAGGACGCGCACGCGCGATCAAAGAGACAAAACTTCGGTCGCAGCTCATTTTGTGAGGAGTGTGTGTTTATTTGCAGGCGCAACTTTTATTAAATTGTGATTTTGCTCACAAGCCATACGCATACACATACCATATACCACCGCATACCACTTACGCAGACGTGTACACTGAAACACACTGAACACACATCGCATCAGGTCTGAGACTTGGGTCGAGCTGGAGCTAGGACCCGTGGTTACACCCGAATACACCCAATGGCCTGGCCTGCCCTATCCTGCCCTAGCCTGCCCTGGCCAGAGTTGAACTAACAACAAACGCGCTTTAATAGCACAGTTTAGCGTAGAATAGACGCAAATAAACAGGCATTGAAGTGCCTCGGCCTGGTAACTGGTGCCTGGTGACTGGCGGGGCTTGTGCTTGTGCCTGGGACTTGGTCTGGGTCTGGGTCCCGTGTTTATATGTACATATATGCACGTGTACGTATATGTATGTATATGTTTATGTATGTTTCTGCCTTCAGTGCCAGGCGCATGCAATAAATATTACATATTCACACACACGTATACTATATTCGTGTGTGGGCGCACTTGATGCCGCATAAAGCGAAAGTAGCACACACCCACACACGAACAGAAGCGCACATACACATTGAAAGAGTGATAGACGAGAAGAGGCCGTGGCAGAAGCAGAGGCAGCGCACTTAACCTGCAACGACCGCCGAGCGCAATGTCTGTGTAGACGCTTCTGCTGTCAGTTCATTTTTCCAGGAAACGCTCAAAGTCCTTGCCACACATACACAGACACACACTCACAGACAGACAGGGCACACATGAAATACAGGACACTGCGCACACTGCCGCACCGGCAACAAATGCGCCAAACAAATAGTTCAAAATATAAATCCAAATTTTATAGATTCATATTCCATCGAGGGACCCCTGCCACTGCCACTGGCTGACAAATGGCTTTCATTGTTTATTTTTGAATCAGCTGGAGACTAATAAAATAATGAATAATCACTATCTCTTTGCATTCTCTCTTTACAGAACTGGCGGTGGCAGCATGCTGGGTGACGTAAACATATCCGCTATACTCGACTCCTTTAGTGTTAGCTACGACAAAAGAGTAAGACCCAATTATGGTGGTAAGTAGACCAATCTAGCCCAATCTAGAGACCCAGCAAATTCGAAAAGAAACCTGAAACCAACCGAAACACGACTTGAACGAAACGCAAATGGGGGGCAATCGAAATATCACAGCCCGCGAATGAACATTCACATTTTAGGGGGGACGTTGAGGCGCAGCATCTTAACAGAGCACTAGAACTCAATATGCATCTAACTTTTTATATACATACGAACAATACCATAACCCTGGCCCGTACCGTACATAGATATGTAACCAAGTCATACCACTGTTTACTGTATTACCTACTAAAACATACGTGTTTGCAGGACCTCCTGTCGAAGTCGGAGTCACCATGTATGTGCTATCGATCAGCTCGCTCTCAGAAGTGAAAATGGTACAAACTAAATGAACCTTGTACCTTTCTATTATCGTTAAGCGCTCTATCTCTCTCGCATACTCTCTATCTCTCTGTCTCTCTCTCTCTCTCTCTCTGTATTTGTCTATCAATCTATCCTATCTATACTGTATTTCTTTCTCTCCCTGTGGTCTTTGTTGTTGGAGTTTTTTTTTAAGTTTTCCTCTATTCGTTTAGTTTTGTTTCGACACAGTGCATTAGTTTGACACCTTCTCACACACATCTCTTGATTTGTATAGTTCTATAAACTGTTTCTTTCAACTGTTTTGCTTTGTATGAAATCTCTCTCCCCCCCTTCCTTCACACACACATAAAATATTTATATACATTCATATATATACATACATATATATGTATATATTCATTCATATATATATATGTATATATATTATTTCCGAGATATTATTTCTAACCGTTGACCAAAATAGATAATTTGAAAGTGTTATTTGCGAATTCTTATTATACATCCACGCGTTCGAATTATGTTCCTTTTTATTCTTTTCTGTTCTGTTCTATTCTTTTATAGTACTAAATCTCTCCAACTCTTTCAAATATTTTGTTCTGGACTTTTAGTGGTTTCTCTAGCAATTTCTCAAAACTTTGGCCCCAGTTGTGTGTTATAGTAGGTCTTCGGTCTGTGAGTCGATTTAGGCAGTGCCATACATAAAACCCAGAGCCATTCAAATGCACTCCCAAGCAAAGGGCAACGCGTCGTTTGTCCTGACTCCCTCTACTCAAAACTCTCTACTGCAGCCCTCACCACCCCCCAGCGGCTGTTCAGCATCGCCAACACATCGTAAACTAAATGTCGTCTCTCTCTCCCTATCCGATTGGCAAAAGCTTTTTATGTTTCAACTTCTTCAGCTCTCAGCCAAAGAGCTTTTGCTCCTTCTATTCTCACCTCGTTACTTTTACCTCTGTGTGTGTTTGTGTATGTCTAATTGGCCAAGAACAGCAAAATTACCCAACACACACACACACACACCCACACAAACACGGCCCCACAAAAAACAGCCACAGTAACATAAACAGAAACAACAACCAGCCATCCACATTCCCCTCTCCACTCTCCCCTCTCCTTTCCTCACCATTCTGTGTACCTATCGAAACGAAGACTACAATCCGCAGCAAATCTCTGCCTCTCACTTCATGCATATTGTTTTGTCCTCATCTTTTAATAGGCCCAAATAACTCTCATACAAAAAATCCTCCAGATCAATATCCTTCCATAGCTGCTGCCAAAATTCGCAATTCCCATCAACACGAAACTACATACTACTTATTGTACTTATTAAAGCAAAGCAATCCAAAAACAAGACAAACAAAATGGTGTGTTAAACCGCTATCAAAATATAAGTAAACATTTGCAATAATTGTTAGTTTTGGTAATATATTATTTCCTTTGCAATCAGAATAGTTAACTGATTTGGTTTTCATTCGGCGCGTGCTGTGAAACAAGCCAAAAATAGAAGCACAAATTTAGTTTTTAATAGCAATAAATATTATAAAAGCATAGCGCACCGCTTGGCAAGCTAAATGTCAACTGTACTTTAAATATATTTCATTTTGCTAATGGAAATTAAACGGCACCCAACGTATCTCGTAGAACGAAAAGAAGCCCTCGAATTGCCCATTCTCTGGCAGCGAACGCTCGAAAGTCGGCAACGAATAATGGGAGCACACAGTATGAGCCATCAGTGTGATGTGTTGTGTATACTCTGAGTGCATTGTTCTACTTTTCCACATATGTATATGTATATATATTTTTTGGGTCTTTGAGTCAATTATAACATGAACAACTACAACTACAAGAACTACTGTAACAACCAACGACATCATTAACCAAAAATTAAAAATATGCAAACTAAAAATTCCATCAATCCGTGTGTGTGTATATGTTGCAGGTCCCCCTGTGGAGGTTGGCGTCACAATGTACGTCCTCAGTATCAGTTCGGTTTCGGAAGTTCTCATGGTACATACGTCAAAAATATATACCACAACAAAAAACAAACAACCATACAATACAACAACAACAAGAAACAAACGAAAAAACCAAACGTTTTTCTTTCATTTGTTTTACAAAAAGCAAAAAACAAAAAGAATTCATAAAACTACTCGTATACTTCCTAATTTCTCTCAGTCTCTACCTGATACCTATAACTATCTCCCGCTCGCTCTATCTCTTTCTCTCTCTGTCTCTAAAATATCTCATTCTATCTTGCTAAATGTTTCTCTACCACTCTCTCTCTCTGCCTCCTGTCTCTTTGTCTCTATGTTGCTTTAAGCTCATTTTGCGTCCTATTATTTGTTCTCCATATACAACTAAACATATACATCATTTTAATTTCGCTAATTGGCAACAGACATACAAATTCATACCAATTTCAATTTAAATTACCTTCGATTCAAATTCATTTAAATTATGACCGCGCTCTTTCGTTTCGTTCCATTCTGATTCCAAAAGCAAACTGCAAATAACCCTTCTCTATACAGTATATTGAATACTCTCTATACATATCCACAAAGTACTGAAAATTATGTGTTGTGTGAAATAATTCAATTGTTGGTTGCAATACTCGTATGTTTTGCCAAAAGTATGAAAATATCAAAATCGAAATGTTGCATATACGTTTTTTGTGTTTTATTGTTTTGATGTCAAGATTTTCGCAATGTTTGTTACTGATATTTGAACCATATTTCATTTGTGTTACACAACAACCAATTGCTTCTAAAGCAACGACAAAAAGCCAACAAAAATACATACATAAATATGGAAATCGAAATCAAAAAAAAACTGTAACTGTGCACATTTCAATGTTTTTGTTGCAAAGAGAATACAATATTTGGCATTTGGTTGTGCTGATTCATCTCTATATCTCTATCTATCACATCTTTGCTGCTTTGAAATTTTCATTGATTTTCAATTATTTTGCTTTCCTTTGTCTTTACTGCATCACATCCACCCATCGATGACTTCTTTCACCATAAAAGAAAAGCCATGCAAGTTGGAAGAAAATCAATCAATCTAATTGCTGTATAAATCTTTATTTACCGTCTCATCCAGCACATGGCTAAGGTTCATTCATCCAACCGTGACCACAACCATAACAACCATAACAACAACCACATCCCCACCTACATACAGACACAGACACAACGTTAAGCTCCAAGAGAGAAACGAGAGATATTTATGCCATATTCATATACAATATATATATATATCTGTATCTATATATTATATACATTTTGCTACCTAATTGTATTCGTTGTGATCTGATCAATTGCAAAATTAAGCCAAATTAATCACAGCAGTCCCACTGGCAGAGTCTGCGCGCATGCTCGTTTGTTAACAAAATGAATATGAATGAATATCACATCATAATCCACATCAAATATACTCGTACTACTATACTAGTATTCATAATCAAGCTCGGTGTCGATGTATTAGTCAAAAGCTATATTGGCCATAGCAACAAATAGATACAAAATTAAGAAATACATACATATGTACATGTACAAGCGGACTCGTATATGCCTGTTTCTGTGTTTCCGTTTCGCCCAATTTAATGTTTCATTATTTGCCCAGAAACAGCTTTAAAGGCAGCAAAATTATGTCTTAATTTTGTTTTCAATTTTTTTTATTTTATGACCACAAAGAATTAATTGGAATTTATAAAATGTCTAACTGTTTCCATGCCTCTTTATTTTCGTCTTTATCTTACACTTTTTGTGGAAAAAGCAAAGATCTCCCTCAATTTGGAATCAATTGGACATTTTTTTATTGAATCTCTTGGGACTTCCTTTTAGGATTTGTTCTACTTAATTTCCTATATACAAAATTGAAAATTTACTGCATTGTCGCACGATTCTATTGGTTGAACGATTTAAATGTTTCTAAGCTTTTCCAAATCATTACCATGACTATCTTAAGTAATTGAAACAACCCCCGGGGCTTTGAACTGTTCGAGCATATTCGTGAATAATCCATGAAAAGGAAGCTAACAACAATTATCCATCACAATACTCATAATCGTAATTTCACATGAACTCGGCCAGCCATGAGTGCGATAAATAGAGAGCATCAGACGACCCACACATCTTAATTGGCCAATTCAGAGAATTCCATTATTATATTATAACTAAATATTGCTATATTGCAATGAGAGCGTTGCAAAGCACTTAAGAAGAGCTCCAAACACGGATACACACAAACACCCACACAGCAGCAGTACACCAAAATCTACTGCACCTTTGCATACAGCTAGGCGCAATGACACGGCTGCAACACACACATATACCCACACACACACAGAATCACCCACCTGCCGTTCGTTAATAAAATTCAAATGAACCGACACCTGCACCTGCCGTTTTGGCTTTGGCAATCAATTTATGCGAAAATAACATTCCCAAAATGAACTTAAACACGAACCGGAACACGAACGTATACTAATACGACATATACATTTGTATATGTATATGTATGCACAAAACACATTAACAACGATAACAGCAACGGCAACTGAAAAAACACTTTCATTCCTAATCATTTTCTCACATCACAACTTTTGATTTGCACAAATTTTTTTTTTCTCATTCTTACTCTCTCTCTCTCTTTGTGTGTGTGACAGTAAGAAAATAAAACTATGTTCTCCGCTGCTAATGAAAATAATTCGAAAATAAACTGAGCCAATGCCAAACCGAAACAAGAACAACAACACAGATACACACACATACCTCTACAGATACAGATACACTGCAAACGCAGACAAATTTACATAAGAAAAACCCATCCAATCCTATCGAACCGAGTCCAATACAGGGAGGCAGTAAAAATCAAAATGACAAAGGCACAACAGTCAACACCGAACATGACTTTTGGCTACAACCAACAGAAGCAAAGAAAAAAAAAATACAACAAAATCCATCCTGGCTGCAGGCTGCCTGCCCTCAGGGACTGAAACTTTTGATACTTTTGCAGATCGCAACATCTGCGGAAAGATAGTCAGAAGTCTGGTCGAAAAACTATATACACTTTATGGAGCCAAAAAAGTTCTGCCAGCTTTGTGTTGCGAAATAACTGAGCAAAATCATAATACTGTTTTGCAAGGGTACAAACAAAAATAAACACCATAACCTACCTAACCTACATATACTGTATACATACAAATATATACATATGTAAATTGTAAATGGTGTGCAAAATATATACATATATATAAGAAAGCAAACAACTCGATTTAGACCCGCTCACGTTTTGGGGTTAATTGTGATGCCATTGTAGGCACGTTCCCCATTCCTCTCGTATATATATACCGTAACCGTACCCGTAACCGTACCCGTAACCGTACCCCTGCAGAACATTCACATAAATATCTGTAGTTAGAGTTGATTTTACGTGTGTGTTATGCCGAAAATAAAAGCAAGTTGACTCCCTCTCGAAAAAAAACCCCCGGAGAACCCTTACAGACAAAACCCTTCTTGTTGCGGATGACAACCCAATCGTGTAGAAACTTGAGGAAATTGCAGAATCCACATGGAGTTTCATTTTCAGTTTTTTGATTTAGCTGAGACTTAAGTTTGACTTTTAATTTGAATCTATTGTTTTTTTTTGGCGCGCCTGAACCGAGTGGAAACCAAATCTGCTAGCTTGAACTTGATCTCACCCAAAAAGATACACAACACCAAATGGAAGATTGAAGCCAACTCACGAGAACCGTGTGCAATTTTCGAATCATAAATAATATACAATAGTCGTACTCACCCATATATAAATACATACATAGGTGAACACTGTACATACATGTATGTACATATACATATGCCATTTAGACACACTCGTAAAAGCTCAGCGTGCGTTAAAGTACTGCCAAAAAGTACCCGAAAAGCAGGTAGTGTGTGGGCTCTATAAATATTTATAACTACTTACAAATGTTATTACCTGCTACAGCTACAACTACAACTATTGTTATTACATTTACATTTGCATTTACCTTTAACATTTACATTTACATGGTTTTCCGTGTAATTTTTTGGTTCCTTGTCGGCTTCTTGTATGCCCACGTCACAGAGTAACAACGTGACGCGCTTCAAGATGGCCGCACTCGTACCCGTACACGTACCCGTATCTGTACTCGTAATGATATGCAAGACTGAGAGAAACAACTCGAGTAGTTGTCTTTGCCCCTTATGACCTCTTACACACACCCACTCATGTCTGCACACACACACACACACACACACACACACACACAGATACAAACAGAGTACACAAAAGCCAAGTTTGTTTGTCGTTTTACAATTCCACCACCGAATCCAATCCAATTGAAAACCAAACCGAAAACCAAACCAATCCAATCCACACAAAGCAGGCCAAATGCTTTCGTGCCTAAAACCTAGAACGCTTCAGCTTCGAGGCACTGCAGCAGGACAGGCAGAATAAGCCAACTATACTCTTGTATAAAGCGAACCCCCATACCTACGCCTTTTTGCCATAGATGTAGTTATACTCGTACCTTAGCCCCCCTTCAATAGTAGTCAGAAAAGCCAAGCTACTTCACATCACAGCAACGAATCCATATGAATATTTGTGAGAGGTTTACGTACTACTTATTGCTTAGCCTACCGTACCTTCTTCCTTCTTTATTGCTACTGTATATACAAATAATGCCATCAACTATTATTTTATTTAATTTTCATTTGATTTGATTTGACTTGGTTCCTCTTTTGTTTTGAATATCCCAAGCCAAAAAACGCTGTGAAAAGTTTCAAATGTTTCAATATTTTTGCATGCTGTATAAAGACCAGACCACCCAACAACCCAACCACCCAAAAAAGCCCATCCAGAAACCGGTTTTCCCGTTGTATAAAGTGAAAAATTTGTGCACGCTAAAAATTTTCCTTGGTTTCCATTTGCCGCAAATTCCTTGCTTTTCTTTGTGTGTTTGTTAAGTGTATTTACTGTTTGACCAAAAAAAAAACAAAAACTCTTCCTTCTAGTTCTAAAAATTCTCAAAGCTAATTTCTATCTCTCTCTCTCTGTCTATCTGTCTCTGTATGAATTTTTTTTAGTTGATCAAAATAAATTTATTATAAAAAAATACACAAAGCTTTAGTTCCTAGTCTTTTAGTGATTTAGTACAACATACTCGTAAATACTACTACTAAGTGCTCACTGTCAATTTTTTACTAATATAATAAACCTCTCAATCTCTTTTTGCTACCTTTCCCCCCGTACATATATCGAATCCGAATTGAATCGAATTGTGAATTTGAATAGGACTTCACATTGGATTTTTACTTTCGTCAATTTTGGACCGATCCTCGTTTAGCGTATAGAAAACGACCTGGTGTAGAGACACTGTCGGTTGGATCAGAGTTCATTAAGAATATTTGGGTACCTGACACCTTTTTTGTAAATGAAAAACAATCATATTTTCACATTGCAACAACCAGTAATGAATTCATACGTGTGCATCATTCTGGATCGATAACAAGAAGTATTAGGTAAAAATCAATAACTCAACTACTACTGCAACTATTGAAACTCCCAATCTCTAAGCTCTAACTGAAAAAGCAAAACATTACCATTTTTAATTGTCTGTATATGTGTATGTGTATTTAAGTATTTTACAACCCACCCAAAACAACCAAAACTAAACTCAAAAACCAAACAAAAAAATACAACAAAAACAGCAAATACTCGTACTTCAAATCAAATTACTAACTACTCGTACTATCCCTTTCCAAAAAAAAACGGTTTTGATTTGTTTCAATTATCATTTATGTTTTTTAACCCCTTTTTGCAACTTTGTAACATTTTTTTCTGTGTGTGTATAAATCGATGTTGTAATTTACTAAATCAAAACCGAAAATGACAAATTTCTACAGAACGAAAAAAAGTTTTCCTCCAAGCGATTAAGCGTTTAATTAATCAAAACAATTCAAGTGAGTTCAATTGGCAAGTGAAAGTGAAAGAAAGTTGGCAAATTACGAGCGATGCAGCTGAGAAAGATATGTATTTATTTGAATAAAAAGCGATGCGATGCGAGGAAATTGCATTTGTACATTTCATGCGAGTCATCGGTTAGAGGTGCAAATTTATGTGCGATTTTATGTGTACTATCGAATGGTATGGTATCAATTGTAGCGATTCTATCTATCGATCTTTGGGAAGAACTTAATACGAGTATACTCTGGCTACAAGAATTCTGTGTTCATATTTGGTTTCGATATTGAGATCTACTTTATTGATGATTGGCGCAAAATAAACTTAAAATTTCCGTTTAATTTCCATAATTTATGTCACACTTACTCTTGATGAACTCCATAGTTATGTATACTGCTCGTATCAATCATTTCGTCATCCCCCAACTGTGCGGCCCATGAATTATACAAACGCATTCACAAACGCCACGCCAAACGCCTATTTCCCCCCAAATCACTACTTCTATAGCTACAAGTATTAAAAATGGGAAGTCAAAAAAGAAAAAATCGCCGAACATACAATATACATGTACCATCTGGAATAGCATGAAACAAAAGGGTACCTGAAAAATGGGTGTATCTGACACCACAAAAAGGTTTGACTGGCCGCAGTAGCTAGTTGATAGCTAGCTAGGCTACTGGGCGCACTATTTTCTACTACCTTTAAACAAGAATCTGTCCAAAATCGCCACAAAACGCTGAGCAGCCACAGCCATAGTCGTAGCCCAAAGGCAATGAAATAAGTATGAGTATAGTATAATTTTCCGTAGCCGTAAGCAACTACAACTAACTAATACAACAACAACAATAAGAACAACTAAAAACAACATCATCAAAAAATCGAATCCCAACTAAAGTAAGCCAAAGCCAATTCATGATAATAATTACCCTGCGTAAGAGCCAATCGCCTCACTATCTACAACTAAACTGCCACTAAAAGTATCTCTCACTTACCAAACAGCAGCAGAAAATATATATATCTTACAAATAGCTCATATCCAATTGAACTCGCTCTGTATGTAATGACTTGAACTTTACCCCCAGAAAGAAACCACCAAGAAACCAAATAACCCCATTAAACCCCTTGTAACCCCCTTGGACCGCCCCCCTCACCAACCTCCCACCCGCCCGTAAATGTTGTGTGTATATAATCGTAATAGAATGTAATTTCTTTGAACCCTCTGCTCGTTTGTTTGTTGATGTTCACCATTGAACCGTTGAAAGCCCTACTAATCGAGTACTCTCTCTCCTCCATATGGAACCAAATGCCAATGTTTTTCTCCAGATTGACTATCACCGCATCGTGTCCGATGAACCTGCAATATTTCCCAATGGACCGGCAGCTGTGCCACATTGAAATAGAAAGCTGTAAGTACTTTCATCTAAATTACATACATACATTCCAAACTTATAATAGCCAAGTAAATGTAAAAAAAAAAACAATACAAAAAGAAAAGCCAAGCAAAATAGTAATGCCAATTGAAATGGAAACTATTGTTGAAGTTCAAATTTAAATATTTCGATTGTGAAAATTGTTAATGAATTCAATGAATCCTGTGAAAAAAGATAACTAAAAATAAAAAACCCAAGAACTCATTCAGAATGTGAAGCCTAGTCAGCGAGGCTCGGTCCAGTGACCAGAGACCAGAGCGAGTTGTGGGTGAGCCCAGTGTTGCTTAATTCTCGCACGAATAGCCGAATAGCCTGTGCTGTCCAGTACACCTTTGTACCTTCCATTCCATCCATCCATCCGCACTGAACTCTGGCCACTCGCATAAAATCAGCTCTCAAGCAAAGTCCGTGCGCTGTTTGTTCAGTGTGGGCAGAAAATTTAAAAAAAAAGCATAATTATGTATGACAAAGAATCCAAATCTATATCTATATCCGAACCGAAACAATTTAAATGCAAGCAAGTACATTTTAAGTGCCTCAATACACACGCCACACACACGAATCTCTACTGGAACGATGCAAAATGAATTATTCCGCCTTTGATGACAATTGTGGAGCACATTAGCAGTTATGTTTCAGGATATCGAATTGTATACAATTAACGAGAAATTTACGAGTCCTTAGGCATAGCTTAGATAGAATTAAGCACCTTCTGTTTCTGTGGCTTTTCGGTTCAGTCAAGTGAGGATCTAGCTCTCGAAAATTTTGTTTTTGCTTTCGAATACAAATTTTCAGTTCGTTGTGCATATTTTGTTCAACCAAAATTAATTGCCCACGCCCCCAACCGCAACACATTTAGTTCTGCTCATCAAAGTATTCAAAACAGATCAAGTCCCACCTCAGACATTTATAGTTATTCTTATGTTTGTCTCTTGAACCCACCCATAAAACAAACAAAAATCAAATCAATATGTTGCACAGTCGCCATGTGAGATGTATACCGAGTTTCATCTGCATCTGCATCTACCCGAATGATTTAACCCAACAGCAATCAATCAATCAATCAGTATCTATAATGCATCATGATCACAGCTTCATAGATCCGGTTTCATAGCCCAGAATGAATTCATGGAGAAGATTGGTTGGTTTTCGGTCGCCTTCTCTTACTTACAGCAACCGTAGAAGGCTCCCTCGCGTTAATCGATGATCTGATGATCAATGATCAATGATCAATGATCTGATGACTCCAAATGTGACACTCTTTTTGATACTCCCTCTCTAATATTCCCCCATGCCCCATGTTAAGTTAGTTAAGTTATAGAATACTATCCTTAGCTATAAATCAAACTCCCATACACAGCACGCTTTTGCTTAACATCTAAAAACATATGTATTATATATATATATATAATATGTATATATGTATATATATATATATATGCCATATCATAATTACTCGTCTATTTGTCAAAACTCGGCCCCGAAAATCTGGGCATTAAGAAGTCACACTCAAGCACACAGACTAATAGTTATCCTAGACTTAAGAGTTTATGTATATATTCGTTCATATAACCCTATAACATTGAGTTTCTTGTGTAAAAGCCCCCACCCACCCAAACCAACAAGTAACAAGAAAAAATCCAACACCAAAAAACCCAACAAAACAGAAACAAAAATTAATTAACTACTGCCCCCCATTTTTGCAACAACAACAACAACTACTACTACAACAACATCTACAATATCAACGAACGATCTTCAACACGATGAAGTCGGTTACACGATGCGAGATATCCGATATTTCTGGAGAGATGGACTGAGTAGTGTTGGCATGAGCAGTGAGGTCGAACTACCGCAGTTCCGTGTCTTGGGACACAGGCAGAGGGCGACCGAAATAAACCTAACCACAGGTACCCCATACATTACAAAAAACCATAAAAAAAAGCGTACAATTTCCAAAAAAAAAATAATAATAATATCTATATAATTATATATACATATATATATATATATATAATTATATATATATAAATACATAAAAAACAAATAATAATAATCACATTAACATTTCCTTTGTTTTTGACAAGCATTTTTCAATGAACTTATGTAACCGTTTTGCGTTTTCGTAATGGATTTCCGTATTCGTATTTTGAGTTTGTGTTTTTCGAAAAGGGTTGTTAGCGCATATCCGTCTACCAAAATACCAAAACACGCACTTCCTAACCAACCAACCAATAAACCAGCCAACCTGAACCAACTGATTTTTTTGTGTTTCCTCTGCCTTCCTCTACTTCTACTTCTTCTTGTTCTTCTTTCATCACCAATATACAATATATATTTATCAGTATATCTTTATCGAGTGCTAACTGTAACGTGTGCTACTAACCAAAAAAAAAACCCCAACTTAACCCCAACTAAAACCCATTTAAGTACTTACCCCCATATATACATGCATATATACATATATATTGTGTTTAAAGTGTCCTCTACTAACCTCTGTTATGACTTATACTTTCGTTTTGCCTTCTGTTCTGTTCCAACCGATTAACAGATCAGCCCTGCAGTTAACTGCAGTTAGAGACGTAGTGAGGCGTAAGTTAGGCCAAAAAGATGTTTGATTTTCAGTTCCTGTTTCTGTTTCAGTTTCAGTTATTTTCGAGTCGCAAAAGAGTCGAGTTTCGTTTGCTTGGGTAGGCTTAAACCAGCTACAACGCTAATAAAAATCTAAGAAATCTTATTAAGAAATGCGAAAGAACAATGTAAAATGCCTTTAACCAAACAGAAGACACAAGAGCACCCATTTCTGCCACCAAGAAACAACAAAAAAAACAACAAGAACAACAACAGCTATATAGATATTAATCTAAGTACCATAGCTTTAAGCAATCTAATACAATCATAATTACTACTGCCAATAAGAACAAACAGTAGCTGTAAGTCAATCCAGGGAGTGTGCCTACTAAATGCTCATCTAACTTTTATTCTAGTAACGCTTTGCCAATAAAACCGAAACCGATCCGAATTAAAACCTAATGCATTTTTAGTCCTAGTGCAATTGTAATATATGAACAATTTATATTATATTCTTAGAACTTCTTCTCGATATAAATCAAAAAATATATTTTTGAAAAACACTTCAAGCAACAAGTTCTGAATGAGACTATTAATTAACCAACAACACAAAAAAAAATTGTTCAACCAAAATAAGAAGAAAAAAACTGAAGAAAAACCAGCTAAAGATATTATTGAATTTTTTTAGAAAATTTTTCTTATGATCGAAGAGAATCTATTAATAGTCTCACGAAATGTATTTTTTGTTTTGTGCATATTTTTCGTCAACAACAACAACAACAACAACAACGACAACCTCACCACCGAACTATGCCTCAACAACAACAACAACTGTACAATTAAATAAACTCGCCCAAACGAAATACCCAACAAAAACCAACACCAAAACTGTACAAAAATGCAACTTTTAAACACTAAAACAACCAACAACGATACAACAAAAACCTTACTATATACACAATATATAGTCGGCTACACGATGCGTGACATACGATATAAATGGAACGAGGGCCCCAACTCGGTCGGTGTCTCGAGTGAGGTATCGCTGCCCCAATTTAAGGTCTTGGGCCATCGTCAAAGAGCTATGGAAATCAGTCTTACCACAGGTACCTGTAGACGGTTACCGATTTATCTTTCAAAAATTTACTTTTACCTACATATACATACATCAATATATATATATATATATTTACGATAATACCGATGATGATGATGATGACTTATCTACTATATAAATATAAATATATATACTATACAATATATAAATATATATCTCGTTTTGATTTTACGTTTTCGATTCAATTCAATTCAATACTCTTCAGGCTCTTCAGTTCGATTTGTTGGCTTAACTCGTTTTGGTTTTTCCTTTCTCGATTCAAACTAATTTCGAAGCAGCATTTTGTATAAAGTACTCCAAAATTCAATCATTCAAATCAATCCAAAACAATCCAAAACAGGGCGTGCCGTAAAAGACTTGGGCTATAACAAAGTAAAAAAGGAGGGAACCGAAATCCTGGCTCAAGCACAAGCACCAGCCCGTCGCTTTTCAAGCGTCAGGAAGAGTGTGCTTCAGCCAGGACGAGAGTCCTAGGAAAACAGTAAAGAAAATGCATGTTAAGCATCCTAAGATTTTTACATAATTTCTATTTCCATATAGCTAGAGTTTGTTTCATCAACTAATCTATTTCATAGCATACTCGTACTCGTACAAATAAAGTAAAAAAAAAATTAAGTACATATTAACAACAAAAATATTAACAAGTGCATTTAACATTAGCCCACTTCATAGCCTAGACTCTAGACAGCCTGATCTAATGATAGACTAAGACGCGTCTTAGAGCTTTTCCCACTCGTACTCGTACTCGTCCAACTCGTATCCCCACAGGAAGACATACTCTTTAAAGTTTTAACGCAAAATCAACGCATGTTACAAGCTAGCAACAATTTTTCCGATTCAGTTCGTTCATCAAATTGATTTTCCTTTACCGCTTTACTTTTTCCTTTAAAAACTCTCAGTTATTTCCGCCTTAATTTTAACGCTCATGAGTTCATACTTTGCAGCGAACTACGATTAGAAACCACAGAAATCAAAAACAGCAATCGAAACATTGGTAATGCCAACAAAAGAAATCTACTTAAAATTAAACCAAATCACAACCGAATTCAAAAAGAAAAAATGAACGTACGATTAATCTCCCCTTTAGTCACCTTTTGTATCATAAAAAACCGAATAAGCAAAGAGTAAAAATATCTAAAAATATCTTACAGTACAATAAGTATTCGATATACTTAGCAAAGCTTAACTGAATATGGCTTTTCCTTAGTAAATCATGCTTTTGATTTATGCCTGACATTAAACATTTTTTAAGCTGCCACAAACACACTCTCATGCTCTAAAAGGAACACACCTACACACCCACACACACAGCCACATTAATTTTATTAACTATTCACGGAATTAGTTCTTACTACAAGCAAAAAAAAAAAAAAACTACAACAGCTATCTACAAAAGTATCTTAACAGTAATTAAAAACGCTACCGAAACTTATTAGCATAGCCAAACAAAATCTACAATTACAAATTACAATAACAATCGACACCAACAAACAACATTCTGTATTGTAAATCAACAACAACAAAAAGCATTAATATGAAAATCCAAAATCAAAAAAAAAAAAATATTATGCTACAAACGATAGAAATACAAAATTAGCGAAAACAAGCGCAACCAGAAAAAATATATATAAAGTTCATCAAACCTTATCTCAAAAATCTCAAAAATATCTATATATCGAAAATACAAAAACGCCCTCCCAAGCATGCTCTCATCTTATAAAGTTTCCTTTACCAAATCTTAACAAAAAAAATAAATACAATTATCTAAAGACAAACAGCAACAAGTTGCAGGCAATTCGAGTGCGAAATGCTCCTAACTTGGGTCTTAGACTAGATCTAGATCTAGATGCCTCCTACTCATTACTCCTACTTTTCTTTTGGTTTCATTTATCCTTTTCCTTGCAGAATTTAAAGTCTGTTTTTGTTCGTCTAATGCAAGTCACTAAAATCTTAAACTCGCTCGCTCTCTCTATGTTTTATTAAGAAAGATTTAAAGCAGTTTCGGTCTAGTCGAAGTTCTGATATCCTTGCAGAACTTAAAGAACCAATCAATTCTTTAATATTCCTTTCATTTATCTTGGGATTCAAGAAATCAATTTCCCTAACACTAGATACAGTTAATATCTCTCTTTTAACGCGATTTTTTTTAATAAATAATCTGCTAGGGTAGAACTGCCTTTTGAATGCCTAGAATATTTTTTCTAGTTTAGTTCTTGACCTTAGCTTTGCATTGAAAATTTTGCCATTTCGTTAATAACCCATAGTTAAGTATATACATAATATATCTGATCTGTATATTGAAGTATTGCCTGCCTGATTAATGAAGCGATGTGTTGTCGCCTAGATCGAAATCTAACCGTATTTCCAGAAAGGATTACCAGCCAATAATTATTTCTCATGAAAAAGCGCTCATACTTAATTCTCTTCATTTGACTTTCATCTCGGTTGGAGTTTTTTTTCTTTTCATTTGAAGCTTGAACTATGATTTCGTTCTATGGTTTTCTTTTTTGGTGAAGAATACTAACATTTTTTGTTCCTTGATATTTGCAAACAAAATGGATCTCAAAGAAATACATACTAATAACATCTTTTATATCTTTCTCGATCTCTCTTTCTGTCTCTCCCTCTTTCCGCAAAAAAAAACATAAAACCAAAACAAAAACTAACAAAAATTAACTTATTAAAATAATGCAAATCGATTGAATATGAATATGGTTTATAATGCGATTAATTGAATAATTGAAAAAATTGAATCATCGAAATCATTGAATCATTGGCGCGGGCAGGAAACTATTCGCGTTTAGCCTGCGAAATTCAGTTCGTGCGCTCGATGGGCTACTACCTTATACAAATCTACATACCCTCTGGACTGATCGTTATTATATCATGGGTATCATTTTGGCTCAATCGCAATGCAACGCCGGCGCGTGTGGCGCTCGGTGTGACAACCGTGTTGACAATGACCACTTTGATGTCGTCAACAAATGCAGCGCTGCCAAAGATTTCGTACGTCAAATCGATTGACGTCTATCTGGGAACATGCTTCGTTATGGTCTTTGCAAGTCTACTGGGTAATCAAAAAGCAACTACCAACAATCCAAACTAAACCAAACCAAACCAAAAACTAACTCCAAAAACCCATTCAGTAAAAGAACCAACTAGAAAAACTATTTCCCCATAACACTCTCTCTATCTATCTATCTCTCTCACCCACACAGCCACACCACACACAGAGAGACACATGCACATACACATACATATACATATGCTATATTTATGTATGTATGTACTCTCTGTGGTTTTTACTTTTGATTATTTCCGTTTCCGTATGATTTAAATACGGGATGACATATGTCATATATGCCCGATTTGAGTATACTTTTAATCACACTTTTGCCAGCTTTCCTTGCCACGCTTAGCGTTGTGCAGCCAAGATACAAGATACAACATACAGAAACATCCAACACACACGAATTTATTTCCTCTGCAAAACGAGCTGCGTCTTAAGAAATTTTCTTAAAATACATACATAATTATCTATTTCTCTACATATCTATAAACCCATTGGTTGTACCGAAAAACAACGCAGCGTGGTTTTGCCTCTCCACAGTAGTTTATTTTCTAACTTTTACAATTTAAAAATACCTACATACATATTTCACATTATTATGGAGCCAACAGGCTTACGAGAAAGTCTATCTATAAGGATGCTGAAATGCACTGCACTGAAAGGCACTGTAATGGGTCTGGCACCAGGCAAAAGTTTGATATAATTAATTATAGATTCGAAACAATACTGCCATTTAAATGCCATCCAAATTATGTGTGATTCCAAGTAAATATCTCAAGCTTCGGTGCTGACCCCATCAAAAAAAGCTAACTTTAACTTTTTCTCTAACTATCTAACAATTTAAAAAAAAACAATTCTCAAGCAACAACTTACACCCACAACTACAACAACAACTACTACAACAAACAGCAACAACAACAGCAAGAAAGAAAGAACAAAAAATAAGCAGAAAAGAAAAGAAAAGCAAAGAAACAAATCTCTTTTTTCGTATTTGTATGTTATTGTTAATTTTCTCTATACAAAGAAAAACTATCATCTAAAGAAAATGTATGCAAATTCATAGATACGCGCCTCAGTACCAAGAATAAAGGCACGAAAATTTCCCACCGTTCCCCTACCCTCAGCCTCCACACTCTCCAAACAAAACGAAAAGAAAATTCAAAAAATCCACAAATGTTTTGCACATTGCACATAGAATCGAAGCATGCTTCAGCTCAAAAAAAGAAAACCTATATCCAAATCAAAACCAAAATCAATACCAAAAATCAAACCCGATTCATTCAGCCATATTAGCCTTTCAATATATACTATATATATATGCAATGTATATAGCATAGCGCCGACTCAGGTTGAGTTGTGGTGTTCAAAAATCTCACACACTTGAGCGAACCCACTACTAACCTGAAATGGTACCCAGATATCAATATACGCCCAGCTTCCGCCATAACGCAAATGCAAATGCCAAAATGCAAAACTGCTAAATCGCAAACCGAAAAAAAACAAAACAAAAATGTACAAAAACCTAAAAAACAACGCACCAACCAAACCATCTAGAGCCCGGGTACGATTGCTCGAACATATATAAATCACCTAAAATTACCATCAATAAAATTAACCATAATATGAAGGGAGCGCATAAAAAAACGATACGAAACGAAACGAAAACCAGCATGCCCTGCGCCACACCTGGCTTGACTCGCGATTGAATTGAATCAAAAACAACATACGAAAAAAGATAAAACAGACACAGTACACTGTAAATATGGTTCAACAAGTCGTCGATCAACAGCCAGAAGACGCAGCCCTGGAAAACCTCAGACATCGACGAACACACCGAACAAAAATATATCGAAAAGAAAAGCCATCCAGCCAGCCACGCAAACCTCAAAACTTTCCGAATGATATATGCGATTTGGAGCCCTCAAGTTTGGGTCACTTAAATGGGTGACCCAGACATGATGGCTACTAGATCCAGCCAGATTTGTTAATGCCAATTTTTTGGGGTTAGGTAAGATATGATTTTGTAGTCAGCTTTCTGTTTTGTTTTATTGCCTTTTGCAGCAATTGGTTGCCGCGACTCGTTGGGGTAAGTAAATTCGTTACTAGTTACTTACTCGTTACTCGTTACTTCCTGCCCATTCATATGCATTCACGAAACTGTACGTAGGTGTGTATGCGCTTAGCGTATGTATTGACCTACCCATTGATATTGATAACGGGTATGCGATTCTTTTGGACTTAATCTCGTAATACCCCTGCCCCTTTGTACTTACACCAACCCAATCCCCCACAAATCCCGCTCAACCAATTCGATATTGAAATACGAATCTGAATCAGAAACAGTAACAGCGCATGCAGAAAGCAAAACATTTTCAAGGATAACAAAAGGAACAGCAACAAGAAAAATAACATCGGAAGCAACAGCAATTACGAAGGCAGAACACAAAATGCTGGAAATTTTTGTGTCCTTTATAACGGGCGACTCTGTTCAATGAATTTGCATTTGAGGCACGCACATGAACATTTTTCTTGAATGATGGTCTCAACTGCAGAAATAAATGTGTACATAAATCGTTTGGCTTACAAATGACTTTTTCCACTCATTTCACAACAACGACAGGAAACAACACTCTCACTCACTCACTCACTAACTCACTCACTCACTCCCTAACTCACTCGCTCACTCACCCACTCACTCACCCACTCACTCACTCGCAGACACACACACACTTCAATTGCTCTGTCTATATCTCCTTCTCTCTCTATCTAGAAATTTATAGCTAACTCTCTCACACACCCACTCACACACACACACACTCTACCCAAGACTTGCTTTATTCGAATTTTCCTTTGCCTGGCTAAAAAAAGAAAATACCTAAAAAAAATTTACTTCAATTTTTGATTTCACGTAACAAACAATAAAAACACTGAACAACAAAGTCTATATTCGTTCGAAATGGCTCTAAGTATTACTTAGTCACCTACTATAAGCCCGGCCTATATCCCACCCAAAAATTCTATCTACATATCTCTCGCCGCCACTCACCGTTTAAGACGTTGGGCAATACTGAACTGAAATTGAATGCCAAATTCCTTATTAAATTTAAATTTCTTTTGTTTTTCTATTTGTCTTTCCTTGTATCCATCCGATAAATATGCAAAAACAAAAAACCCCGCACCAAATTATCAAAATATATATATACAATATATACTCGTACTTCTGCTACTACAACCAACAAAATATCATCCGAAACATCATATGGAACTCAAACTCGAACTCGACTTGCCTCAAAATTCTTCAACTGCATCCGCATCAATATCAAAATCAATATCAATATCAAAATCTACCCCACCCACCTGTACGCAACCGCTCATCTATCGAAAAACTATCAACAAAACTATCGATTATTCAAATTCCAAATGCCTTACCAATTCGATTACAATTATCAAACCAAAATCAAACAAAATCAAATCGTTATCGTTATCGTATATCGCAATCAATAGAATACGCCACCGTCGGCTACATGGCAAAACGAATTCAAATGCGAAAACAAAGATTTATGGCGATCCAAAAGATAGCCGAGCAGAAAAAGCAACAGCTCGACGGGGCCCAGCAACAGGCCAATCCAAATCCGAATGCCTCCATGGGGATGGGTGGAGGAGGCGGCGGTGGCGCTAACGCCGGTGGAGGCGGCGTCGGTGGTGGCGTCGGTGTCGGCGTTGGCGTTAACGTCGGCATGGGCATGGGTCCTGAGCATGGGCATGGGCATGGTCACCATGCCCACAGCCATGGTCATCCGCATGCTCCCAAACAAACAGTGAGTAACCGCCCAATCGGCTTTTCCAATATCCAACAAAACGTTGGTACGCGCGGTTGCTCGATAGTGGGACCCTTGTTCCAGGAGGTGAGATTCAAGGTCCACGACCCGAAGGCCCACTCCAAGGGCGGGACCCTGGAGAATACAGTGAACGGTGGTCGAGGAGGTCCCCAACCCCACGGACCAGGACCGGCGTCCGGAGGTGGACCCGGCGGCGGTGGTGGTGGTGGTGGCGGCGGAGGTGGCGGACCGCCAGATGGCGGTGGCGATCCCGAAGCAGCGGTCCCAGCCCACTTATTGCATCCCGGCAAAGTAAAAAAGGTAAAGGTAAAGATCGTACATGATGCGGCGATAATTAACTAAGTTTTCTCTAACCTAAGCATATATTAATCGATTTAACCTTTCTGCCGATTCTCCTATTCCACTATTCCTTGGACCCCTAACTTCCCTCCATCCCCACAGGACATCAACAAACTGCTGGGCATCACGCCCTCGGATATTGACAAGTACTCGCGCATTGTGTTTCCGGTGTGCTTCGTCTGCTTCAACCTGATGTACTGGATAATCTACCTGCATGTGAGCGACGTGGTCGCCGATGATCTGGTGCTGCTCGGCGAGGAGTAGAGAGTGCCTCGTCGTCGTCGTCATCGTCGTCGTCGTCGTCAAACCATTCGCGTCGAGGGTGGTCCAGGACCCCATCGGATCGCCAGAAAGAGGAGTGAACAGCGCACGAGAGAGTCAAACTATGCATTGCGCTGAAAAACCACACAAAAAATAAGAAGAAAACGCAAAGAAAAAAAGAAACAGAAAACAAGCAAAAAAAAAATTAATTAAGAAGCGGAAACAAAACTAATTTTAACTAGGCGATATGAGGAGACGAAGAAATGCAACAAGTTTTTGTTTAATACTAATGAAAAAAAGGACACACACACACATATTACAAGGTCGAAAGCAAAGAATATTGTTAAATAGATTTACACAAAGAGAAAACATAAGGATAACATTAGCAGTAACAAGGCAAATGAAAAAATGAATATAAATGAATGAAGAATAATCAAAAGCAACAGGATTAGCAAATTGTAGTGAAAATTATATAACGAAAGGTATAAGCGAACATGTTGAAAAGGATTAAAAAGCCATAAAAAAAATCACATATATAACGATCAAAAAATCATACGCAATATAGACATTAAAGGACACGGAAAGGGAAAGTGGAATCGAATGGGTTCGAGAATGAGAGTGAGCAAGAGAATGAGAATGAGAAAGCGAAAACTAATAAATACTACTATACTACAATACTAGCGCAGTCGAAAAGTTGATTTCAAAGACCACAAAGTTAAACAACACACAATACATATACATAATAGAAGAATTAACTGAAACTAACGTTGTAGACCATACTAGAATGAATGATTTCCATTATCTTTGCGGAGTTTTGAGCTTAAGTTTAAGAACCGAAACACCTTTTGCTTCCCACTTCAAAAGCAAAACACCCAGAGAGTCTTCCTCTAATTTAAGTCCCCCCAGCTTCAGAAGCACGCTCTCCGAATCGAACACATAGGAAAACCAGAACCAGAACCACAAATGAAACCAAACCAAAACTAAGCCCAAAATTTAGTAAATCGAAAGTTTGATTTCCCATTCAGTTGGTTTGATTGATTTGTTTATTCAGAACTGACTTAGCGCTTCCAAGTGAAATGGCCAAATTTATTAGAAATCAAAAAGTAAGGCGATGAACAAATTTCGATAATTGAGAATCAATTTAGCAAATCTTTTTGATTAAGTTAACTTTACATATAACACTCACACACACACAGAGACAAACACACACACATAAAACCAGTCGAATATAGTCGTCGAATAGGAAAGAAAGAGAGTTTTAATCATTTGCACACCAAAATAATAAATGGGAAAACCAAGAAATACCACGAATTACTTTGGAGCGCACCTTTTATAAACAAGCAAGCAAGAAAGCAAGCATCGTGGATAAGTCATACAAATAGTTAGTGCAATTGAAATAGCTAAATAATAATAATAATAGGAACGATAATGTTTCATTTTAGTTACACCAACAAATTTTTGATAACAACTTTAAACTAACGAACAAACAAATTATTCAAATTGCACTCACTCAAACGCTCCACTCCACTCACTCACTCAGAAAAATGATGCTCCACACAAGAATCAAGAACTCAAAAACTTTTCGAAGACAACTTTGCGGCACCATAAGAAATCAATATAAGGTCTAAGTGAAAATCCAATAAAAAAAAAATTTAAAAATACAAGTAAATTTAAAGGATATACAAAATACAGAATATTATACATAGAGCATAGAAATATGTACACAAGTAATGAATGAATGAAACTGCCTAAGAAAATTAGTATATAGGTCAAACAAATAGTTGCTAAGAAAAACAACAACAAACAACAGGGGTGGGAGGGGAGATACCCGTAAATTGATTTCCAATTTGTATATAGCAATGTACTCGAACTCGTGTGAAGGAAAAAGGAGCAGGCTAGGTACTCGTTACATACTCATCAAAAGCAAAGTAGGAGCAAAACTTCGCAATTGAATAAAAACTTAGTTAATGTAATTAAATCTAGTTAAGCGATTAACTCGGATACGTTCAAGCAGTCAATAAAGCGATTAACATACAAAATGATACTTACGATGCACCGTCTTAAGTTAGCCTAATGAACATATACACACACAAAAATATATAAATAAAGATGTATGAATTTTCGCTCAAGTTCCTCGATGAATCACAGAAACATAAGAACAAGAAACCAAAAGTTAAGTTAATTAACACATAAATTAAAGGCAAGTGAGTTTAACTTTAAAACAAACAAAACAAAATATGTGAAGAGCATACAAGAAACTAAAAAATAAACTTTAGCACACCAGGAGAGAAGGAGGAGAAATATATAAATACGCGCAAGTGAATCATACCAAAATATCATCAATGAATTTTAATTTAGTGTTTATGATTAGTAAATGGATGAAGAGCAGGTCGTAAGGCTAAAGAATTTTGTACAGTTTAGCTAAACTTAATGCTAGGAATTAGGTATACACCATAATATGGTCAAAGTATGATAGTAACACTCCAACACACACACACAAAAACACAATCAGACACACACAGACACACAGATCTATGTACATGTATATAGAGTATGGCATAAGTATACACAAAAATATGGAATATACATACATATGTATATTTATGTATACAAAAATCGTATTTAGGCACCTACATACATATATGTAGCACGAGTTTTTTGATATGTAAACCCCTAATCCAAAAAAAACCAAATAACTGTATATACGACAAAAAGTACTTATGAATGGAAACCAGCTATGGAACCCTAAACATTAACACTGGAGGATGAGGAGCAGTATGAAAATATAAATGGAGATGGAGATGACCCTTGAACCCACTTGAGGAATACCTAACCAAGAATTCAGCCAGACAACAGACAGAAGAGAGCCCAAGGAAAATTACTTTATTAAAGATCTAGACAGACACAGACACACACACACACGCGTAATACACATACATGTTTATCCGAAAGAGAGAACGAGTCGAGAAATCGACTATTCGATACCCTTCAGCCATATCTGAGAAATCATCAGAGATTGCTTTTAGTCTGTCTGTTTCTCAATAATAACAATGGATAATCATACAGTTTACATATATTTCGAAAGCATTTCCGAAAGCAGACCTACATATGTATGTATGTATCTATGGCTTATGGGTATCCGTATTCCCCGAAAATATCTAACTAAAGAAAGAAATTGAGCAAATTAAAAGCCAGATGTTTAATGTTTGAAGTAATTAATTGATTAACTGGTTAACGTTTTTTAATGAGAAAAGGATTTGAAGCAGAACTGCAATTGATCTACCATTCCCAAACCAAAGAATTCCCGAATAATTACAACATCCCCGACACTTGGAATCATGAAATCGGTGATAAATGAACATTAAAGAAAGAAACAGATAAATAAATCCATATATATATAGAGAAAACACTCATATATATATATATATACACCTATATATTTTGTAGCTATACAAGTGTCAGGAATCAATTATGTTACGGAAAGACAGAAATCAAAATGTTTATAAAAGCGAGAGTCATATTGTAACGATATGATATGATATACAGACTATAATGCAAGCGAGTATCAGTACGAGTATCCCCTATATAAAACGTCGAATCAATTTTTGATGAAAATGCAAAAAAATAAACAAAAACGAGAACAACAACAAATAGCTGCTCAACGGTTTCGGAGCGTATTTCCAAAGAACGTAAATTAATGAGAAAAACAAAAACCATTTTAGTTGTAACAATTGCAAGAGGCAAAAATAGTTGAGAAAAATTTTAAGGTACAACTAACTTAATGGCAAATTGATACGTTTAATTTTTCATATGGAATTTTTTACTCTACACTTAGTTTACGGATATAATTTGTGGGAAACCAAACCAGACAGAGATGATAAGCAATTTAGTTGGCCATAGTCGGAACTTTTTTATGAAACATTATTCAATGATTATGAAAGACGTGGAGGTGAAGAGGAAGTTGAAGATGATGCATACGTACATATGTATATGTACCGTCGTAATCGTGTATGCAAAAGCATTTAGGACAAAAAGGCAAAGACATCAAAAACGATGAACGATATGTAAAATGTTAAATTATACACACAATGAAAATGTTTGAAGCATTTTTGGTGTCGCTGTTTAGACGGCGGCACCTACACCAACGTTTTATAAAGCAACCAACAAAAATATAAATAGATACCTAACCTATATATATATGAGAAAGGGATATATACATATATATATGTACGTGACACGATGTAATAATTGCGTATGTATGATGTATATTTAATGATATATTATATATGTATATGATGGTCTCAAAAACAAACAAACAAACGTAAAAACAAAACGGGAAATTCTAAAGTATCTAGATAAGAAAATGAACAAGTTGAGAACCTTAGTGCTTAAGTTGAACCACACACAGAACACACAGATACAGATAAAAGATACAAATACATGATACAGATAAAAGATACAATTACAAGATTCAGATAAAAGATACAGAAACAGCTAATGGAAACTGAAAGAGATACAATATACAGAATAGCTAACAGAACCCTGCATTCCTGCATAGTGCACCAGAAACTAAAACAAAATGGCATTTTTTAAATGAATTCCGAGTTAATGCAAGTGAATATTATGATGGAGAAATAGTCTATAGTCCACATCACAGGATAAACGGATTAAATTGCGATTGAGCCATGAGCCATGAGCCATACCTTGTTAGGCAACACTAGTGCAATGAAAATACTTTACCAACAGTGACACACACTGACACACATATACACTTATGGTTGTACGTTGCATAATTTATAATTTGTTGCATCATTATTATAAAGAATTACATTACTCTTAGAATCCCCGAATAAAAAGCACTCTCTGTTGACAGGCTTCACCTTTTGCTCAAGCAAAGTAAAACATGCGAACAAATTTGTTATTACATTTTAAGATTAGATACACCCCAGCTCCTTACACCAACACCCCTCCACTACCTCCCCTCCACAACTACCCCGCAGACACTGGCTAATAAACAATATCTATGTGTATATGATTTGTCTGTCAATCAACCTCAAAGCTCTCAATTCTAATCATACGATACCATCGTCATGCAGCCAAAAGGTCGCTGTTTTAAGGAGTTCAACGAAATGTATCTATATAATTTTTGGTTTTATCCGTCCATCAAGAGTTCCTAACTGCAATAAAAGAACATTTTTTATGATTAACACTCAGCCAGCCTGCAATAATCTTCCAATCTTCCTCCCTGCCTCCATCCCTTTCCTTCCCCACCCTTCCCTTCGCTACAAGTCTGCTCTGCTGTCAATTATTTGTTATTACTATTACCCTGACCACCACCATCAGACCCCAAACATTTCGGTTTGCTCAACTCATCAAATACCCCTCCACCCCTCCCACCACCACCACACCCCACACACACATATATAGCTACCATATACATATGTAACAGTAATATGTTTGAGAAGGAGAAATAATTTAAAACGTAATGCGTAAATGCGTATGTAATGATTGATCACTGATCACAAATTTTGACTGTGTTAATTTCGTTATATAAAATGAATAAAACAAAATTTAAATTAAAAAAAAATAAAGCAAAACTGAAGTGAAATAAAAAATAAATAATTATCTATAGCATGAAAATAAAAACAAAAACCACTTAAAAATAAACACACATGAAAATGAAACCAGAAAATAACAAGAGATGAATGTTACCAGAAAGTAAATGATAAAAACAAAAAACCCAAGAATGGAACCTATATTATTAAGTTAAATACTAAAACTAAAAAAAAAACATCCAAGTGGACAAAATGCAAACCAAGAAGAAAAATATTATAATATTGCAATGAAGTGAATATAAATAAAGATATGTAAAAAAAAAAAATTACAAAAAAAATCAATAGACATGTGTTTATTTATTTTTCATATTCAAAGGATTTGAAAGCTTTAAAAGGGATTCAATTAAAACACATTTATTTTTCGCTTGCTTGAAAGTGGAAATTTGTTTATTTTTGTTAGTGGTTTCGAACAGAGGGTTGTTTTGTTGAACTCAGGAATTACTTACAATACATTTTGCGGCATATTCAAGCCCATTTTTTGTTTTCTTTAGTTTAAACTGTGTTATGGTAATATCGTATCGTTGAATACATACATATGTATGTATGTATGTATGTGTATAAGAATTCGTCATCCGATCGAGTTATGCATTGAGTATTCGAGTATTCGCAAACAAAGTCTCTGATTGAGTAGGCATTTCACTAGATTCTCTTCAGTTTCACCAACAGTTTCTGGCTTCCAAAACATTAACTTAGTTCATTTCACTAGACACGGAAAACAATTTTAGCTAATAAGGCTATAGTTTTGCATACAATTGCAACAATATTTGGGGATCTGTTTCCTTTTTGGTTGTGCAGAACTCCTACGTGTACGAGTAGTTAGATCAAACAGAACAACTGAATTGACTTGGTAGAACTCTTCTTGGCTGTTTGTTGTTTGGTTTTAATGCTGTTAACTTGGCTAATACAATACAATACGGTTCGGATCAAGCACAATGTTTATCGTAAGACTGCTAAAATACTGGACTTAGATATATATACAATACATATTATTGCTCGATTAGTTGAGGATGCTGATATTCGAAGACCGTTTCTGTGTCTGAGTGCTACATAAACGCGTTTACAATATTTATATATATTCCATACGTGTCTGAGAGTATAACACTTTACAAACTAGAATAATTAATTATATATTTATATAGTTTATATTTATATATATATAATGTATAACGTATGGTGGTTTCTTTTTATGTTTTTGTTAATGAAGGCCCAGTTGTTGTGTAACTATAACCCCGGAGGCAGTCAGAAGTATTTTTGAATGGATGTACACAATTTGAGCGCTGTACGTGATGCGAGGGGTGGTAAGAGGATCTTTAACTTCTATCGTATAAGTATATTTCATATGAGTTATCTGAAGACCTGCTGTTGTGTCGTTGTATGTGGCTCGAGAAACGTAAATAAACCAGCAACAAATTGGGTTTCTGTTGTGATTCTATTGGAATTTTGATGGATAGGCTGCCGACTTTGGTTTATTCCCGTTTCCCGATCGTTAAACTGCTAGATTGAAGTCCGTCTAAGTCTGTATCTGGATGTAGGTTGGTTGTGGGTGGTTGGTGTTTGGTTTTGTGTGTGAGCCTATTATGCATTCAAAGTGGCTGTGTCTGGAGTTGGTGTTCCGCTTGGATCCGCTCTACAACTGTCCGTCGCTATAGTCTATATAGTATATATCATGCTCATGATCGTGTGCCTAAAAGAACAAGAGAAACAACATTGAAGTAGCCGACCAAGAGGAAGAGACCGGAGCGCCGACGATCTAAGCGTTGGACTCTTTCAGATTTTGCAAACGTGCCAATTGATTTGAGTCCAATTCCTCGGGTATGCTAGCTCGCCCGCCGACCACCTGCTTGGGCGCCTCAATGTCCTCTTCGGCTGCGGCTCCGGCTGCTCCAGCTCCGGTTCCGGCTCCAGCTGCTGAAACGCCCTCGCAGTGACCCTGCTCCTCTTCATCGCCCGGCTCTCCGTTCACATCCAAATCGCTGGACTGTTCGCCTCCACCCCCACCGCCCCCACCTCCTCCGCCTGTGGTTCCAGCGAAGGCATCATCAAAGTTGGCATCAAAATTGGCCTCAAAGTTAGCCTCAAATCCAATTCCATCTCCAGCCGAGTCGGTTTTTGACTTCTCGTTGAATGGATCCTCGACCTCCTGCAGAATGGGGACATTGTTGCCCGAGGCCGAGTCGGTGCCCTCCGAGAAGGACTGTTGGTCCTCTGGATCACAGGATGGATACTCGGTCAGTGTAATGCTTACCACCGGTCGCACTCTAGTGTTACCTTCTTTTGCAGCCGTCATTGACGACTGGGCCGCATTGGATGGCGGCTGTTTCTGTGGCGATGGCGATACTTTGACCAATGGCTTTGGCGATATCTCTGGCTTTTTATCCGCCACCGGCTGTTCCTGCTTAGACTCGTCCTGCTTCTTCACATGCTGCTGCTGCTCTCTTTCGCTCTCTCCTACTGGTGGGAAAGATTTATCGGCACCGTCTTCAACCATGGGGGTTGCAGCGGTAACAATTATTTGTGCCATACCTAAGTTCAACGTGTTCGCTGTGGCGCCACCAGCGCCAGGCTCTGATTTGCCAGCAGCCTTTTGCAGCTGGGGCGGCGGCAAAGATGGCGGTGGCTGCCCATCATCACTGAGATCGTCCTAGAACACACAACAGAATAAACATTTCAGTATGGCCGCGCTATATTTCGATCAGATTGGATGGGTAAATGGTTTAATGGATAGTTTACCTCCATGCCAGGCTCTTGGATGAGTACTGAGTAGGCGTTAGAAAAAAATGACAAAATATATTGATTGCTTAGTCAAGATTCGTATTTCTGGTTTAATCAATCTTATTTCTTGATAAAAAATATGTATGTATATATATATATGGTATATATATATTTATATATATATATATATATATGGAGCGGTGAGAGATATACATAGAAATCAATCAGTTAAGAATCATTTCAAGGCAGTCTTGGAACAAGAACTATCTAGATACACGACAAGGAAATGACAAAAAGGAAACTAAGTAAACTAATTAGCAATAGAAAAGCAATAATCGTATACGTACGATATATAGAAGAAGGGTAAATTTGTATATTCAATATATACTCGGGGGAATTTTTTTTTTTTTGTTTTGTTTCGGGGGCACACAAACATGCGGGAAGGTGATAAGAAAACTAGGTTATCAGCAAATCAGTTTTCTTTATATACATAAGAAGGTTGTCACAGGATCTTATAGCTTACAGATATTTTTTTTGGACTGATATTTAAGTACAAATTTACGTGGACAGCCTCAAGGAGAACACGAGAATATAGAAGCTACCAAGTGGGGAAAAATTTCAAGAGATTTCTTTTACATGCTCTCAAAAACAATGGAAAAGGTAAAGATTTCCCCTACATTAAATTCAAGATACTGAATTAAGAGATATTGTAGTAAGAGAAACGTTTTTGGGTAGTAGAGATATATATGTAGATATGTTGTTAAAAGAGCATAATCGTTAAATTACCCTTCTTGGCAGTGGTTTGGCTTTGGTTCTGGCCTTAAATGACAGAAAGACACGCAATTACACGGAGAGAAATAACAACAACCGATGCAGAAAACACACAGCAATGAAAAAAAACACAAAAATGATAATTATTGAAATCAATCGTAAGCTTTCAATAAAAAATCAGTGCCATATACACTCAAAAATATATTGATAATAGATTATAGAAAAAAAAGAGAAGCTGCAAAAAGAAATAAATCGACAATTGTAATCGATAACAGGACAAGAAACATCGATACACTGACACGACACACGTTGGATAAGCAGAGCAGCCTAAGAAGAGTAGAGAGAACACTGTAAAAAATCGTAGGGTATAATAATTCTTCGGATGGCTTTCGTCTGGGGACTGGCTGGGGAGACACGTTTTGTTTTTCAATTTTTAAAGACAGAGACACATTAACGAAGAGTGTAGAGAGTGGAGAGTAGTTACAGTAATTGTGGTGGTGGTTGGGTGGATGGTTATTTGTTTTATGTTGTGATAGTATTAGTAGTAGTATTAGTATTTAGACGAGCTGCAGTTTTGGAGAGGAGATTAAGTTTTACCTCTAGAGAATATAGAAGCAGGTATAACAGTACTTTTCGATAGGTATTCTTTTTTTTGTTTATCGGTGGAAAATGGAAAATTATACAATTGCTTTTGGTACTAAAGGAATCGGAGATCGAGTGATAGATATACATATTTATATAGATATAGAAATAGATAAAGACAGAGGTGAAACCAAAGAGTAGGTGCTGACGGGGGGGCAGTACTGGTATGTGGACATTTACCTGGCGGAGGCATACTCGGAACAGCCGCACCGTTGGGTATATAGCCGCTATCTTCATCTGAAAAACCATTCACTTGAGTCTAAAGATCAGCAATTCACTTCCATTCACTCACCTGCCGTATCCTGCGAGCCAAACATATCCTCTGTAAGCTCCAATTCCAGCTCGTGGGCATACTCTGGGGGTAGTGCTGGTGCCGGGGGCAGGGCAAAGTTCGGGGCTGCCATTGGGGGTGGTGATTCGTCGCCGCCCTCGCTCAGCGGTTCGCCCATTTCGTCGCACTCCTCGACGACCAGGGAAGGAAAGTTGCCAAACTTTCCATCTAGCTCGCCCTCCCACCAGCCATCGTCAACGCCGTGGGCCGTCTTGGTGACGATCTTGATCTTGTCGCCCTCCTCGAAGGTGAGCTCATCCTCGGCGGTGGCATCGTAGTCGTAGAGCGCAATGCACCATTCGACGTCGGACTTGAGCTGCTTCTGGGGGGCCATTATGACCGATACCTGGTCGGGGGATTGCATCGAGTCCACCGTTTGATCTTCGTTGTCAACGGTGTAATCGACAGATGAGAATGAGATTTGAGAGCGCAATTGATTGGCGGAACCAGTACCATTAAAAGCGCCGCCAGCCGTCTCCTGGTCAATGTCCAGATAATTGTGCGGCACATAGCCCTCCTCTCCCCGATAGTTGCGGGCCCGCAGCCACCCATCGCCGTCACCCTCGCCGACCACCTCGAGCTGCTCGTTCTCGACAATTGTCAGCTCATCGGGATTTTGCCCCTTCAATGTCGATACGAAACATTAATATCAATCCCGCAGAGAGGATCCACCACTCACCGTGTAGCTGTAGAGTGCGGTGCACTTGAAGATTGCTTCTTTGGGCTCGGGTACAATCGGTTCGTCCTTGTCCTCCTCCTCCTCGCCTCCCCAATTCACCTCGGTTGGATCGTCCCACGCTCCAGCTCTACCACTGGCTGCCATTGCGGAGGTAGGAGCTGCGGCAGCAGCAGCTGCTGCAGAAGATCCAGTTGCCGCACGCTCCTCGGGCTCATCATCGCTGTCGCTGAATGTGCGATCCCTAGAGAGCTGCGTCTCAGCCTTGGGCTTTGTCTGAGCAAACGCCGAGGCACCGCCGGCCGCCTCCTCTTTGTCGCTGTCGTAGAAGGAATCTGAGCTAGGATTCTCGCCCTGGCCCGAGGCATCGGTGCGCATCGATATGGAGCTGGCCGAGCGCGTTAGCTCCTGCACGCCCATAATCTCTGCCTCCTGCACCCACTCGTCCACATTGATGCCGCCGTCGCGCAGGCACTGCAGACAGGCCTCGGCCTTGGCCTTCTCGGTCTCGGAGCGGCGTATCTGATCACGGAACTCCTCGATCTTGGTGTCCAGATCGGGACCATTAGGATCGTTGGGATCGGATCGCTGTCCCGAGTCCCTCAGCGACTGACAGAGGGCCAGCTTCTTGGCGTTCTCCCTTATGGAGGCGTTCTCCTTAACCACCCGTCCCGCCAAGTTCTTGGCCTCCTTGGTGAGCGTCTCCGTGGCCGAATCATGCTCTGTGGTCACCTTTCTCACCGGATCGTTGTCACAAGCCTCAAAATCATACTGGATATGCTGCTTAAGCACCGGATAGAACAGATAGCAGCACTGCAGATTGTATTCCCGCGTCAGCTGCTGGGCCTGATCGCGAATCTTCCCGAAACTGTTCTGCGTGGCCGAGCAGGTCAGCAGCTCTGTGCGTCTAGAAGAGGAATCAATAGGAAAACTGCGGTAAACTCTAGAGGTAGAGGTAGGTCTTACCCCATTAGCATTAGGTACTCGGCCACTCGCTCGAACACATAGTTCTCCATGGTGGTCATCGTGGTCTGCAGATCGACTGTAAAGTAACGATTCTGATGAGCATTGGCGGCGGCCAGGCTGAGTATGTAATCGTTTCGAGCTCCACTCGACTTCTCTTCGAGCAGCTCTTTCCGCGAGGTGACCCGTGCGCTGTTCTTCTGCAGCGATGTGATCGACTGGAAAAAGGAGCCTTTTTTCTTCTTCAGCTTCTCCTCGATGTCGCGAGCTTTGTCGCGCACATCGTGGGCACAGTGCTCCTCATCAAAATACGACTTCTTTGTCTTGTCCACATCGCCCACACTCAAATGGAGTTCCTTCTGCACGTTGACGATGCCTGAAAGCGATCTCTTGGCAATAGCCAATTTGTAGTCCCTGAGGACCTTGGCTTCGTCGGCGATTTGCTGCTGGAACACCTCGATGGCGGCCAGGCGGGCACGGGCCAGCTTCTCATTCTCCTCGAGAACTGTGCGCCACACACTCCACATGTTCCTGAGGGAAGGCAATGTGGCAGTTATAGGGATTTATCCGTTAATTCTTTAAAAGTGTCATCAACGCTCACCAACGCTCTTCCATGCCCTCCATCTTGATGTCAGGAATGTTGGGTATCTTCTTGTTGAGATACTGCGACGAGATCTTCAGGAGGGCCTCACTATACGACTTCTCGATGGCCGATCGCTTGATGGTGAACTGTCGTATGTCCTCTAGCAGGTCGCACTCATGCTGGTTTTTCAGCTGCAACTTGGCCACCTGCTCCGTATGCAGATTCTTCAAGAATTTCACATAGTTACCCTGTTGGACATAAGAATTTAGTGTCTGGGGAATACTTCTCTATGGAATGAATGTTATCCGAGAGAGAGAGAGGCTTTACCTTTCGCGGCGGTGGCTGCATTTTGAGGCTTTGTCTACTATGGCTACTATGTTATTGAATAGTAGAGTGCTACGCTCTCTCTTTACGCTCTTACCAAGCCAATTCTTGTTCACTACGTTACCACAAGCAGCAGCTGCAAAAAAAAAAAAATGGGCGGAATGATGTGTCAGGTTCAAGCTATTACTGGATAAGGTTTATGTAACAAAAATATTGTGGCTGAAGGTTGCAAGTTTTTTCTCAAAAGCAAAATTCTCTACAGTTTGATGGTAATTTTTCAGCGGAGCAGCAGCACCCCGTACTGGATGTATCGATTTCTCTGGCACTCAGACGGTGGCAAACTATTTCAAACTACAATTTTAATTGAAAAACTCAATGCTAACACTTTTCTTGGACATTGCCCGTGAAGATTGTTCTTTTGGTCAACAGTTTCTGGATTTTTCTGGTTTCTCTGGTTGCTTTTCACGAAAATTACGGCTTTTTCTCTGGTACGTGCCTGCGGTCCGTGGCTTATCGATTTCGATTTTCATGTCTTTTTTCTTGTGGAACCGTTAGCTGCTGCTGCGCAGGAGTGTGGGAGCAAAGCAGGAGAGAGAGACGAAACCCAAGAGAGAGAGTGTGTATGTCCGGTTCTCTCTCACGTTGAGCGCGTTTTTTCTTGTCTTACTTTCATTCATGTTCATAGCTACAAATTCCGTTAACAACGCTGTCAGCTGCTTGATAACATTTCTTCCCTTCCCCATCTCGACCGGGCTCTTGACTTAAAGAAAATTCCCTCCCATCCAAAATTACCCGAAAAACTCTTAACGCGGCAACTGTTGTCACAAAAATGTGCCCACAACCTTCATGGGCTATCAGGAAGGTTTAATTGATAATTTCAGGTACTGGCAGCTTTTATTGATAAGATTGATATAAATATTATAAGCACCCCCAACCGCTGAGTAGGTAATCTCTGTGCATTTCCATCACGATTCTTTACGAACATCTAATTTATTCTAACAATCCAATCAATTTTCTATTCTCAAATTCTCATTTTTAGGCAAGTAGTGGGTATTGAAATATTTTTTTAAAATATTTAAACACGAAAATGTTCTAAATTCATTCTGTTATGAAGCAACTACATGTGCCTTGACCGTTGGCAGCGCCACTTCAAAAAAATGTCTATATACATTCTTATTTACATTCTACACCAAAAAACAGCTGTGCAACTATCGATATCCGTTTCGTGGGATTTTCCTTTCACAAAACACTGTCAAACCATCGATATATTGGTATATTTTGTCGATTTCATCAATCTATTAAATTTCATTTTCAACGTTATATAGAAATCCAGTAAAAGCAATTATTTAAATTAAGCCAATCAAGTAGAAAATTGATTCATCAATCGTATAAAATTATGTGGGCAGAGCTAATGGTTTTAGTTAGGCAGCATTATTCAACGGAATAAAGAAATTGAGCAATTGGAACGGTACTCGTTTGTATATGCTACTGTTGCATGAGCAAAAGTGCCTTGTGCGTCTGCCTACAGTGGCTTCAAATGACAGTAAGTCCTGATGTCACAGGTCACTCCCTGTCCGCTGTTCCACGACTATTCCGTGCTTTCCACATTCTTCGCATTTACAGGTAAAGTCGAGCCACAGAGTCCGCAGTTGCGATACCGAAACGACCAGCGACGCCCTTTGTGTGGCCCACTACTCCCAGCCTCTGCCCCCCAGAAGAGAAATTTCATTGAAAAACAATTGAAAAAGGAAGAAGAACAGACCCTGGACTGGGGGTTTGGGTGGAACACCGGCGTCTTCAGGATTCTGGCGTCTGGTTCGTGTGCCGTGGGGAATGGGGCCTGCTCCACCTCTACCTGTACCGGTCCCGCGACCCCCTGCGTGTTGCCTGCCGCCTTCCTGCTGTTCTCGCGCCACGAGCACATTGGCCTCATCTTGACCGAGTACAAGGTCAACAACGGGGGCTGCTCCCACCTGTACCTGGCCTAACCCGGCAGACGGGGCATGACTTGTGCCCCACCCACTACCAGTTGGCCGAGGACGGGGTCTCCTGCAAGAACTACATCATCTTCAGCCAGAGGAACAGCTTCGGCCGACTGCTACCGAACACGACACACGAACCCGAATATCCGCGCCGTGGACTATGATCTGTTGCTATGGACCTGCTCCTACTCCAACAGCATTAACATGACCATTCGCACAATTGTGTTCCTAAAACGTTGCCTCTTTTAGCTTCCTGGCTGAATTCGTAGGCGTCAACGATACCGGGGACTCGGAAAAACCTCGCACCATTGCCACCTTAGGGAGATTTTGTACTGGCTGGAGGACAAGACCGGAGTGGAACGGATCACTGTCAACGACGTTATTCCGTGGAGCTGCATCGTCTGTCGCAGTTCACCGACATCCGGGCCGTGTGGACACCGGATGCGCAAGTGCTGCACAATCACACGGCACAGTTGCCCAAATTGTTTCCAAAACTGCATAGCCAGAGGGGTGTGACACGCAGCACGCGCGACGTCTGCTCGTGCCCCATGCATCTGATGCTACTAGAGGACCAGGAGAACTACGGCGTTTGTCCGGACTGTGGGCCAGATCATTTCACGTGCACGGCCCCAGTGACGGGGAATGGTGACATGAATAAGTACAAGTCTGACTGCCCGGACAAGTCGGATGAAGTGGGATGTCCCATATGACTGTCAGTTCAGCTGCCAGTCCGGCGGGTGCTTCGACAAGGCTCTGATCTGCGATGGTACCACCTGTGACAACTGTGAGAATGTTCACGATGAGGCCGACTGCTGCAAGCTGCCAGGAGACTTTCAGTGTGCCATGGTACAGACGATTTGCCTGCCTCGGATATTCTTGCGCACCGAGCAGGATGAAGAAGGAGCGGAAAGACTCGGGTATACAAAAGCCTATACACGCATCATGCGACTGTTTTTTTTTGTTAAACTATTTTGTTTAAACCTTGTTTTAGTCAAATAAAACAAAAGCAAGGACTAAAAACTAGCCAATGAACCACCCATGCGGCCGGCAAGCCAAACCATGGTCAAAAAGGACAAATCTGCCAAGGGAAACGGCTTTGACACGGATAGTTCTAATTCAATACCCTATAAATATGTATATAAGCAAATAGTCGACCACTTACGCCATGAAGTCAGGTTTCAAATGGGAAAAGATACTAAAAAAAAGCCGAACAGTAAAAAATCTTATTTCAAATTAATCCAAGACGTTTACTGAATATCCCATTATTTCCTTTTCTCCACCACAAACGAACCATGTCAAAATAAATAATAAATAAGTAATAAATATAATTGTTGTAATCTTACCAAACCCCAGGCCGGCCTATCCGAGGCCTGCTGCCTATTGACATCTGCAAGATGCTTACAGAAAATCAGGGAACGGAACCATTACAGCAACCAAGCTAAACCGGAAACACGAATTCGAGCGAAAGGGCAATACATACATCTCGAGCGAGATGGAGATATATACCGATCAGGCACACACTCGCAACCGGAACAGAGAAAGAGAGCGGCAAAACATATTTTCGAGTGAGACGGAAACACAAGAGAAAAAAAAACAATAAATACAAATTTGTATGAAAATAGAAAGAAAACGTATGAAAGTAGAAAGAAAATTAAATTTATATGTATATATATATGTATATAATTTAGTGGAATAAACATAAATACTACATATTATGTACTATTATGAACATATGTATGTGTATTTTATGGTATTATATTAAATACCGTAAAAACAGAACAAGGATTCAACCTTCACTTTTCTGTGTTCTGCGCCGCTCTGGTGATTTTCCCTCTTTAAATCAGATGGCCCGTGCACCCACTTTTTAAGCCGGTCGCTCTGGAGAAAATATCCTTGATCCTTGGTCCTTGATAAGGAATGCATTATCTCAAGGAAACTATTCCAAACCCAGGACGACGTCGCACGTCCTGAACGTGCCTCGAATAACGGAGAAAACAACAAAAGTTGTTGCTGTTAATAGTTGTACAACAAATTTTTGTTGTTGTACAACAACAAGCCCCAACCTGCAGTCGATTGGTAGGATTCTGCCGATCACGAAAAGCCATGCCGCGGCCCCATCGGCTGCCGTATAGCAGAGATATAGCGTGCAGAAGGAACCAGTATTTTAATGATATGCCAATCTTCGGAAGGCTATATCTCAGAATAATAGGGCCAGATCGGTGAAGGACCGGCAGGACTCTACCGATCACGGAAAGACATGCTGCGGCCCCATTGGCTGCCGTATAGCAGAGATATAGCGTGCAGAAGGAACCAGTATTTTAATGATATGCCAATCTTCCGAAGGCTATATCTCAGAAAATTAGGGCCAGTTCGGTGAAGGACCAACACTCCCAGGATCGCGAGGATCCCGACTGTCGAGCGGCATCAAAATCTCGACTACGAAAATGAGGCCGCTTTTTGGCAAAATTTAATGATGGTTATCCTTTTTGACGATTGCAGTCGATTGGCAGGACTCTGCCGATCACGAAAAGACTTGCCGCGGCCCCATTGGCTGCCGTATAGCAGAGATATAGCGTGCAGAAGGAACCAGTATTTTAATGATATGCCAATCTTCCGAAGGCTATATCTCAGAAAATTAGGGCCAGGTCGGTGAAGGACCAACACTCCTAGGATCACGAGGATCCCGACTGTCGAGCGGCATCAAAATCTCGACTACGAAAATGAGGCCGCTTTTTGGCAAATTTATTGATGGTTACATCATGTTATTTTGCGAAAATCGTGAAGAAGTGGATGTCCTTTCTTCCGATTGCAGTCGATTGGCAGGACTCTGCCGATCACGAAAAGACATGCCGCGGCCCCATCGGCTGCCGTATAGCAGAGATATAGCGTGCAGGAGGAACCAGTATTTTAATGATATGCCAATCTTCCGAAGGCTATATCTCAGAAAAATAGGGCCAGATCGGTGAAGGACCAACACTCCCAGGATCGCGAGGATCCCGACTGTCGAGCGGCATCAAAATCTCGACTACGAAAATGAGGCCGCTTTTTGGCAAAATTTAATGATGGTTATCCTTTTTGACGATTGCAGTCGATTGGCAGGACTCTGCCGATCACGAAAAGACTTGCCGCGGCCCCATCGGCTGCCGTATAGCAGAGATATAGCGTGCCGAAGAAACCAGTATTTTAATGATATGCCAATCTTCGGAAGGCTATATCTCAGAAAAATAGCGCCAGGTCGGTGAAGGACCAACACTCCTAGGATCACGAGGATCCCGACTGTCGAGCGGCATCAAAATCTCGACCACGAAAATGAGGCCGATTTTTAGCAAATTTAATGGCAAATCATGATTTTTTGCGAAGTCGCGAAGAAATGGATATCTTTTTCCCCGATTGCAGTCGATTTGCAGGACTCTGCCGATCACGAAGAGACATGCTGCGCCCCAATCGGCTGCCGTATAGCAGAGATATAGCGTGCCGAAGAAACCAGTATTGTAATGATATGCCAATCTTCGGATATATCTCAGAAAA